TGCGGTTCACAAAACTCAAAAGTCACAGCTGTCACATAGAAAGCTTAAAACGGAAGTGCTAGAGAATAAATAGCTGTTTCTACGGGAGCTCGTCTCAGGCGTGTACAATAAATCTCTCCTGTGTGAACGCTTTGCACATGACCCGGTCTACAGAGAGAGATCTTTGCAGGTGGAGGTTCGAGTCCCACTTGTTTTGTTTCCAAACAAAACAATTGCAAACTCCAGTGCTGCTTCCTGCCAGTTTACTATTTGGACACACATAAAGGGAGAAGGGGTTTCTGGCATCAAGTGTATCGTAAAAATAGAAAAGAAAGTGCAACACGCAACATGTTTTTGTGCTATAGAGGAGAAAATACTGTTTCCAATGTGGAAACGTATGGAAAACAGTCTCTTTCTGCAGGCTGCGATGGCGTTCTGTGCCATACCTCAAACCATTAATAAGATACGGACCAGATTTTCCACAATAAAAAGTGATGAAACGAGGCACTGATGTAGAGAACCATAATCTGCCTTCTTTTATTGTTCTGTTGGGAATTCCAGCTGCTTTTTGCTTATTCCTTCAGATACAAGATCATTTTAGAAAGCTGTATACGAAAGCTGCAAGATGAATCCCAATCCAATCAAAATTTTAATTTTAGTGGTTGCTATTATACAATCAAAAAGACTGCAGTCATTTAAACTGCTGCATGCTTGGACAAGGGTAAATGTATCTTGATTTTAGATCATGCTAATTTTATATTAAGTGCAGTAGTAGTCAGTTGCCGGGTCATGGGCCGCACACACTCACTTCAGCTCATTGTAGTAGTAAAATAGTCCTGGGTCTTCCTCGGGGTCTCCTCCTGGTGGGACATGCCTAGAACACAACGCAACCTCAACTGGCTCCCCTCAACGTGGAGAAACAGCGGCTCTACTCCGAGCTCCTCCTGTGTGACTGAGCTCCTATCAGTCACATAGGCTGAGCTCCTGTCTATCACTAGTTTTCACATGTATTGTAATAAATAACATGCACATTTATAATAGAATAGTGAAAATGAGATGACCAGCCCCATTCAACTGAACTAAATGTGCTTTTATGTTTTTTTTTACTAGTTTACTAGTTTTACTAGTAAAATCAAATATGTCATCTCTATATTGGGTTTTTGTGTGTGTCTGTGACTATATTTTGCATTTCAGTAAGTAGTGGCAAGTATCCTGTTGTTCTTTACTCGTCCTTATGTTTGTTGTTTACATCCTTAGCAACAAACAGCTCCAATCTGCCAGGCCACCGCACTCAGAGCCCCGGAGTCTGAATAAAAAGCGTTTATCTGGAATAGCATCAACCCTGCGATTTCCTTGTAACAGTAGCAGGCTTTGAGCGCGCACTCACTTGTTGCTGATGACATATATGTAGGACTGTTGTTGAGTTTCTTTCTTTAAAACTGATGTTGGGAAGTTGTGAGCTGAAGTGGCTGCCCTTTATACAGCAGCTCAATATCCTCTCTGTTCCATAAATATAGAAATTAAAAACAGGATCAAGAGGTGTCCGTGTGACGGGTGGAAAGTTGGGTGGAGCTGCCACTGGACGTAATGATGAAGCATAATAAAGAGCGGTCAAAGGGAAGCCAAACATCCTCCTCCCCTCCCTCATACTTTTAAAGCTTTAGTTTAAGATTGTCAAGTGAGCTTTGAGAGAAAACTGCTGCGTGCCAAACGGATGCTACTCATAAGCGACGGTCTATCATAGTATCATAGTATTTCAAATGCCTTGATTTAAATTTTATGAATTTTTTTCAAACTTGTAAACACACATTTTATGAAAAAATAAACAGGATACAAAATAAACACTAGTTTGAAATGGGGTTGGATGTTTCATCCATTACGTGTCATTTGTTAAATGTCACACTTTTTTCATGAAGAATGTTTTGTTTCTTCCAACAAAAAGATCAATAATCTTTATGTTTACTTTAGTCTCTGTAAAAGCAACTTTTGTGAACAAATTCGACCACACAACATACTTTCTTAGGTTCTTAGAAATCATGTTCTCCTTTACTTACTCGTAAGAAAGCCCTATGAGTCATCTTTGTCACATTTCTGTCTGAAAAGGCAGACTTTTTTTTGGAGAATGTTGGTACATTTTCAAATTTCGGTTCCCCAGCCTAAAGCTTGTGGGTCTACTTCCTTTTTAAAATTAAACAATACTGTAGATTATCCATGCAACAAAATGTCTTTCTGCAGTTTGTTTATGAGGTACATTTGGGGGATTACTGTGGCAAAATACCAGCCACATTCTCACAATCAAACATAACAATTTTTTCCCAAAATAGCACATAACACTTGTTTTATTTTGCATTCTTTTGACCTGATCTTGCGATCCAGCTCGCCATGTCATCTTGTTCCCAGTTCCTCGTGCAAACAGCTGATAAGACGTCTCTGCAGTCCCGACCCGAGCCCTAAACTCCCGGGGTCTGTTCGCTCGGGGCCAGACAGGGGCCATTTGAAGCCGATAATGAGTGTGAAGACCCAGGCTCACTGCTTTTTAACTGCTTCTGCTCTTGTTGAAAAGTGGCTGCAACATTATGCGTGTTTGCCCCCCCGCTGAGCACAAATAGGATAAACACCGGGTCTACATGTCTGATCAGCCGTGCCCTGTGAACTCTGGGTAATGGGGTTAACCTACAGGCCAATTACTGACCGGTCTCATTAAGGGCGCAGCCAAATTAGAGGTGACATTTCCGTGTTAACTGAACAGCAGGCAGTGTAAAGTTAAAGTTTACAGGAGTGAAAGAGAGGTGTGGGAGATGAGAAACACACAGACCGATGGTTGAGACGTTGCAATGTGTAATTTGTATTCATGTATTATGTATTTATGTATTTGCTCAATGAGTGTGTTCTCTTGGCCATCTCTCTATGAAAGCAAGAAACATCTGTCTGTGTGTGCCCAAGCTAATGCATGTTTCAAAGTTTGAATGAGTTCTTTAAAAAGTTTTTATTAATCCAATCATTTGAATAAACATAAGTGGAATCCCAAAAACAACAAAATTAATGAATGATACTGTTATTAGTCCCACGGTGGGGGAATTAATATCCCCCATGGAGCTCACCCTATATACCTCCCACTAACATGCTTTACGGGCACTGCACCAAAGCTACGTGATATACAAATCCTGTACAACTGAGAAATTACACTGACAAAAACTTTAATTGAACTGTTTTTGAAAGTGTTTATTTAGACAGTCTATCAAATGTGAAACAAGATTGAGAATTGGTTTAGTCCCGTGTAAAGATAGACAACTTCTGTCACAATCATTTCTAACATTGCAATGTATGGTTTTTTTATTCTGATAACACAAAAAATATTCATATGAAGTGTTCTGGAGTTCAATATTTATCCTCTTTCTTTGCAGTGGAGAGATTTGTCATTTTAACAAGAATTATGTTATAGATTTTATAGGGTTAAATAGGTACGTTATTATGCTAAGTGCTAGTTATTTATTATTTATGTCAAGCAGGCATGTATTAAAGAATGTTTTGGGGTAATTTCCCATTAAAAATGTTGTTTCCCGTTCTATGTTTCTGCACTAAAGAGTCATTGTATCAGTGGCACAAGGAAGCTTTAATATCATTGTATATCACTATATATTTGGTCATTATGTTTGAAAAGACAGCTACAAATACTCATGTCTACGTCTACATCAGCTGCAGTCTTATATCACTCAATCATTTCCCAGATGAGTCCGAATCTCGTGTTTTGGCCTGTGCCCTGTCCAAACGCTGACTGCTTCCTGTCCTCCCTGAGCTGATGACACGGTTGGAGACGCTCCATGTGTTTAATGCCCTGATGGAGGAAAGAGGAAGGGTGTGAACTCAAACTGATAATGTGATAAAAGAGTGAAAGTTGGTTCTAATGATAACACAGACAACCTGTTGTGTTGACTCTATGGGTTTGGCTTCCATGGACAATGGTGCAGGAATAGGCTGTAGGTCCCATAAGAACTGTGTTTCACCTTCAATGTTTGGGCCATTCAACCTTAGGGCTGAAATCAAAGAGTGGCGCTAAAGGGGGTAATTATATAAATATTTTAATGGTGATAATGAATGGATAAGCTGACGTTTTAAACATTGATCCGTTTTGCTAAAAATGTTTTAAACGAGACTGGCTGGAAATACTGTATACCAGCCATATTCCTTGTGTTGACCTCATTCAAACTTGGTCCACATCTATATAAGACCATACTCTCCATGGTTACGTTTTTGTTCATGTTTAGGTATTCAGTCTATCAGCACGACTGTATCACTAAGTTCTGAGTTGTAATGAAGACGTGAGCTCTCATTTTGTTTTCATTCCTTCCTGTGCTGTTTCCAAATCTGAAGCCAATTCAAACACTTTTTATAGACTTAGATTAAGGGTTGTTCTCTCAGAGGCCATGCCAGCTGGTTTTTAGTAGGACAAAAAGTTAACTTCCATCAGTAGCTTTTACTGAATCACATTAAAGATGATTATGATTAATGATTAAGAAGAACTTGGCCTTAATGAACTCGTCACATGAACCTCCTACACTGGGCTTATTCACATGGTGCTTTTCAGAGTTGCCATTGGCGAAAAACTGGCCTTGATAACTTTGTGAATAACAAAGCCGTGCATTTAGAAATACATCATTTTAGTAACTGTAGAGGAAAAGTACTATTACCAGCTGCAAGTTCATATAAATTGAGGGAATTACATTAGTGTAAGTAATGTATGAGCTATACAAGCCCAGGCCTAATTATGTTATGATGTCCCCAGTATTAGAAAGATAAAGTGAAACAAGACAATTAAATACTGGGACCAAAAATAGTCCTTAAAATGCAGCCTCTCATGACTGATCGCTGTAATGAAAGTGACTATTGGTGCTCGGAAAGGCTTTGGAGTGCACCTGGACAACAAGCGTAAATGGCCCATAAACAATATACAAATGTACTTAAGTGACATTGGATATGTTATTATTGGATTAAAAGGGCTCTTATTGTTTGCTCCTCTACAGAAAGATGTGAAGGATGTGTTCACGGCCATCTCCTTTGAGGCCGCGTACAGTTTGGGTCGACATGTCATCTCCGGACATCGGGACAGAGACCTCCCCGCACTCACTCCGGTTCTGCGATGGAGGAAAGGAAACAAAATAGCAGCAAAGAATGAGGTAAGCAGAAGGATTTTAGAGAATAGACCTGGGATAAAATCAGTGTTGTATTATCATCATCATTTACAAACTTTGGGTTCAATTTCCTGTTCACTCTATTCTAATGTTATCCAGAATAATAATAATTTCCCAGTTCCTCAAACTCCCATTATTCTATCTCTCCCTTCACTCAACACCAGTTTCAATCCAGGAATGGAAAAATATATGTGTTCAGATTTGTGTAGAACGTTTGTTCTTTATTAATCCCGAAAGAAATTATTAAAACATTTTTTTTCACCATAAAACCATCTGCAGCGCCATCTTGGATTGGATTAGAATTTTTTGCATGCCTGTTTTTTTACTTTTTTTGTAACTTGTTTGCACTATATGCCAAACAGAGGTGTCTTCTTGTCACTTACAACGGCAATACAAAGAATTCTGATTCAGATTTTTCCCACTATGATGCAGTAGCTCAGTTGGTAGAGCGTATGAGCTGAAAGTTGGTGGTTCCAATCTTGTTCCTAATACATACATCGTCATCTGCGTACACTGGTGTATGGATGTCTGGCCAGGGTTTCTTCATGTGAAGTGCTTTAAGTGCCTTGAAAGGTAGAAAAGTGCCATTTAAATCTGACCATTTAAGGCTGTGACTTGAACACAGCTGTCCAGAAATCCTTTTTGCTGTGAATATCATCAGCCCCAGAAGTATCACAACCTCGCAAAACGGTACAAAATAAGACAACAAAGACAGAAATAAGAAATAAATAAAAGGCAAATGAGTTAGCAGCACATTAAATAGATAAAATATAAGGTGTACAAGGGCAAAACATTTTAAGATTTTTTTGCAGCTTCATTTTCCTGGGTGTTCTCCTTATAAGCACTCAGTTAAATGAGGCCAGTAACACATACATTGAAAGTGAATGAATGACCCTCAGACGCTGAATGAAAGAAAAGCATTCCATCGATACCTTAAACATTTAGCCGGAGAAAAATCACATTCTTGTTATCGCTCATGTGTATATTTTCGGCCAATACACAATCTGACACAGTTCATTTCCTCACTTGATTGGTTTGAAAATGAATCCGACGCCACACCTCCCAAATGCCGCGATGGCACGTCGTCTCTCCCACCACAAAAGGCATAAACGGAAACAGCTCAAATTGAGGTTGTAATGATTCGGTGTTCGTTACCAGCTTATTATTGTCTGTGTTCGCTTTTTTTGAGTCCCATCCAAAGAGACTGATTCATTTATTTTCTTTCGCGACCACCTCTAACCTGCCCCACATGTGTTTCCCCAATACCGTCTGCAGTCCTTTCGCAGGGATTTGTGTCTTTCAGCGCCTCCGAGAGCAATTCATCTAAAAATCATCAAAGTCACATTGGTCTTTTGGGCTTGACTTGAATTTCCTGTAAGATTTAACCTAATACTAAAGCCTGCCATGATTAAAAGAGAGATCAGAAAGTTGCAAATGTGTTGGACCAAACTGCTGCTCCAACAAAAGCACAAGACTGCCCCCTAGACTAAACACTCTATCAGTGTGTGAATGCATTAGGTCGTATAACTTTACTTTACCCATCTCTTCTTTGTTTTGCAGACTTATTTTGAGAAGAATTGCCTGTCTGATGACTGTGCTGCAGACTTACGACTTCACGGGAAAATGTATCTCTCCGGGTAAGCTGACGACATAGGCCATGTGGGTGTGGAGAGCGGGGGAATGACGCACGCTTTGAGGATGTCCACATGTTTTTCCATTCTTAGGGAGTTACCTCAAGTTTTTTTATATTTGAAAAGTTAGCGTAATTCCCCATCCTCTTCACTAAAAGCCTGTCAAATCATAATGTTGCTCTCCACGGAATTGACACATGGCAGCTGCTATATATGCAAACACAGAGCAATTATACAGTACACCATGATCTTGCTACGCAATATTGAAACATAATTTGAACTACTACTACCACGTTCCATTTAATACAATTTATATTTGAATAGCCCTAAATCACAATCACAGTTGTCCTGTCTGAGGACTTTACAAAGTTGTCAATTCCTCACAACAGCAAATCAGCGAATCAAACTGTTCGAACACAAGAAATGTATTAATAACAAATACTTAGGAGCCATTGATCCATAGGGGCGGATGACCAATGTCCATTATGTCCTTAAATGTCCCAGATTATCATAGTCCTTAAACCCTCCTGCATCTTCAAGGAACAACTCAAAAATCCAGTGGAAAAAAGCAGATCCCCATATTGAGAGAGGGCGGATCCAGGACTCAGGCTGTAGAACACGGTGTAGAACTGAAGAGGCTCCCAGGCAGGAGATGGGGGTCCAGCCCAAGAGTCTGGGCCACATCCGTCGAATACAGAACTGTTAAACATTCTAGCCCTATCACATGAATGGATCTGGTCTGATGAAACTCCCTTCACATATTGTACTAACACCATATCAAAACAGGAATGAAATGGGACTAAACAAGGACTAGAATAGCTCCAAACACGTGTGACTGCTGCCTGCGTTGTTCTCACCAATGTTTCCTGGCGTCATCATTTGGCCTTTGCATGCTTCTTACTTCCTAACATACCACGACCACAAGAATACAACAGGCTGAAGATTTGTATTACCCCTATAGAATGCTGCGTTTAACCTATTGTTCAACAGTGCTGCGCATCTAGTTTCCTGTCCTTTTATTGTCGTTGTCCTCTATTGATAAGTTCTTGTGTCTCTATAGGATCCATACAAAGCCGCATTTAGCCCTGGGAGGCGTGAAGAACATCTCTTTAAATCTGACCATCGCGAACATGGGAGACGACGCATATGACACCAACATTTACTTTAACTTCTCCAGAGAGGTTTTCTACATCAACTTCTGGCAAAAGGTCTGTTTATATATCGACTCCGTGTTTATTTTCCCGTTCAGTGTCATGTTTGTGTGTGTTTGTATGAGACGTCTATCCATAATCCCACTGTACAGAAGAGTAAATGCAAGGAAAAGATTTCACTTTCAAACATACAGACATCAACAGAAAACATTGTAATTCTGTAAAGCACAAACCTGGAAAACGTACATATTTGTTTGGACTCAAAATAGAACTCTTCTTCGAATGTGCACAAGTTTTGCTGTGGGTCTATATTGAAAGGCCTGCTCAGACTATTCATCTAATCTACAGAAATAGTTAGATAGATCAAGTTACAAGTTACCTGCTCAGCTCTAAAATGAAAAATTACCACACTTAAGTCCAGCGGTCACACATCCTTTATACCCTCAATAACGCAGGTTCTCTGTTGAGAGCCACATTTGTCTTGTAAGAAGATGGCTGCAGTGTCAGTTCAGACTAAACAATGTAACCCAAAATAGGCAGAGGTTCGATTTGGGATTAACTGGGCTTTTTTTGATGATGCAGTGAAGTTTTGGGTGAGGAACTAGAGGCTACAGCTGCTGCAGACCCACCATCGCAACATGTGCCATAAGGCCTGACTTATGGACCATTGAGAATGCATTCACTGTGTAAAAGAAAAGCCCCCGTGACAATACTACTGGAGAAATGGGATTATGATATGATTTACATGCTCTTTGATCTCTTATAGTGTGAGATTTTCCCTGGTTACACTAAACTGGACTGTAAAGGTGCTTTCTGTAACTTATGGCGTTCGTCACAGGCTTTCTGTATCTCTCTGGAAAGTTTGTTGATTTGCCTGAAATGTTTTATAATATTTTTTGCATATCTTACTGTGACTTATCAAATCGCCTCAGATCTAAAGATAATGTTTGGGCTGTTGCACGCACTGCTCTTTCCTTTATGAAGTTATCCTTGTACAAATAATATATGTGATAAAGTGAATGTTGCTTTATGTGGGTGATAACCTTACTGAAGCCTGTAGTGTAATATTTTGCAATTCCCTGAGTCCTGGGTACTTTTATTTTTGCTCGTACCTGTCTTCTCTGGCGTGAAAAGCCAACACATGTCCAAATAACTCACCAACCACTGTTGTCATTTCATCATGAATCTGCAGTACATATGAAATCCCTTCTGATCACTTCTGTCACAGTCATGTAAAAGGTTGCAATAGGAAGGAAATAAATATAAATATAAGACCAGAGATTTTTTTTCCAAAAGTGGGGAGGCCAGTTCTTTCCTAAAATTTGGTTGAATCCTTCTATATACCTTTAATGTTTGATCCATGTCTAAATCTTGCTTGTAAAGTAAGGATAAATGTTGCGGTGCTAATGTCTGGGTTTATCCATTTGTTGAAGAGGTTAAGAGGTCTCTTTGATGCCACAGGTCAATAACCTTTCCAAAGCTTTCAGAGACACCATCCATCACCAGTTCATCTCTTCATAATAGACCTCAAGCAGGCATCTTCTGCTGTGATGGATGACACAATCTCTTTAATGCACATAAGCGATGACACAGTTCAACCCGCCCAAACAGAGATGCAATTGAATTAAACACTTTGGGCCAATATTTGGAGAAAATGGCATTTGGTTTCACAGCTAATTCACTGAACCCAGTTGACTCGAAGGGTCAGGTTTCCAGGAGCCACACAGCCTCATTTAGTCCAGGAACCTAATAACTCGGGGTGGTCCACTGCACAAAGGCAACAGGAAGCCCTCGGTATGAAGAGATGACAAAGAGGCTACTGCTGGGATTTGCTGCCGCTTGCTTCTCAATGCATTTCTTATTGCTCGAGGTGGTGATGTGAACCTATTTTCAAAGGTTAAGACTTCCATTCCAGCCCTACAGTGAGAGAAGCTTGAACCAATAAAGAGTTCATTTTCAGAGTAACAGCACTGAGAAGGTGGAGGGGGAAATGTATACGGATGCTTTGGTGTGTTTGGGGGGGTGTCTGGATCAGATATTAGTCCTGTTGGTTTGGATTATGACCAATATATTTTGAAAATATATGATCTTGAACATTTCTGCTTTGGACTAGTGTTAGCATAATATTTTGCTGACTTTTTACATTCATATATGGATTGTACAAGTGAAATATGGAGATTCCGAGCTTTAAATGATGCAAAATATGTACATGTGCCAATGTAATTGTAGTTCCTGAGAATTAACTAAGTGTTCCAGTAAAAACATAGACCTTTATTATTTTGTCTCAAAGCGTGACTGTCAACACATGTGTTGTTGTTGCCATTAGCTCACTGTAGTTTTTGCAGCAGTAACATGCGGAATGCTCTGGTATCGTGAGTTAGTTTCAGAAACAGGGCCTTGCTCCCGAGAGACTCAGCAAACAGACCTGGCTTCTGTGTTTTCTTTTTATTATCTTCAAACGTTTCAAGTAGTCAGCTGAAAGACCTGTGGCAGCCATTGTTTCAGCTCAAAGAGATTGCACTCATGAGGCCATAACCAGCAATACAGGATTCAGCATTTTACCTGCAACTACAGTAAGTTTATAAAAGGTGCACTGTGACAGATTGGCTTAACGGAAAAGCAATAAAACACATTTCGCGCTGGATATAAAGTTGTGACATTAGTTTGCGCAATCTGTAGGAAATGTTTGGAGCATTTACAAACTATGAGGTGATGAAGAATGTGCGAAGCCTCCTGTGTATTGTCACTGCTGCAGTCCAGTGATGCTTAATGGACTTGCCACTTGTTCAAACACTACCATTTGTTTGGGAGACCAGGGAAAGTAAGCAAGAGTGAGAGGGTGAAGATATGCTGGGAAAACAGTGGCCCGTGTGCTGCCTGCAACATACAGGCTTGCACTATAAGAAGAAAAACAATGTATTTAATTGAGACTTCCTCTTGAAACTGCTGATAGTAGTTTGAGGTGGTACATAACATAAAATAATCAAGACCTGAACTCGGAATAGACTACAAAAAACAGACCCAAAACAACAGTTGTGGATATGTGTCTCTGTTGCAAAAACAATCATTCATAAAAATTCACTTATTTATTGAGCTCATAAACAATAGTTTCCAAAGTGCTGCACAGGGGAAGGCAGTAAAGAAAAGAAAACAGGTGAAAAAAACACCAGATAATAAAAATAAAATGTCCAACATCATGTTTAATACAATAAAATCAGTCAAATCAAGCAGAAATGATAGAAATGTAGAAATGATAATAGAGAATAATATGGCAATGAATAAGATAATTAATATTTTATGATAATATCAATAATAAAATAAAACACAGCCCGACCACACAACTCATGCAGTGTACAAAGCCAGATAAATTTGGTGTTGGTGTTAAGACAAGACTGGACAACACTGCTTCACCCGCTGGACAATAATAGAATCCTCTGGGACATAATGCGTCTTGTGTTGCTCCAAACCCACAGCACATGTGCGGGTGCTCTGCTCTCTCTCAGGGTGAGGGGTAAACAGTCACTTCCCGATCCTGCCCAATCCCACGGGACAGTCCTGTTTGAACAGCAGCACAGCGGGACACAGGAAATACTGGGAATTCTAACATGGGTCTTGTCACCTCCTGTTGATGGGTCGTTTGAAGGGGAAGATCTGTTTAATGAAGAGCAGAGAACAGCCACGCCCCAAGATGAGGGCGGAGTCAGGGAAAGTAGAGGTGAGGGTGTTGAGAATGACTTATGAGAGATAAGCTCACAAACTGTATTTAACGGAGCACTGCTTTAAATGAGAAAAGATCAACCTATGTACAGTATATCCTGTGTTTGTGAAATTGTGCAAAAATATTCAAAGCTATGAATTATTTTGTGTATGATTACCTCTACCTTTCAATAATTTTTCTAGATTATATTTAGAGAATATCCATTGAAAGAAGTAATCCAAGGTGAAAAGTTGAAAGAAGTTATCATGTGTGTAACTTCTTCAAAAAAAGGATAACATTTTTGGCAAAACACTGAATAACAGAATGACAGCAAATATGATTGAAGAAAATGAGGGTCAAACGTACATAAGGCTGTCTCATCTTTTTGGTTTAATTACGAACACTTCAAAAAAAGGCAGCTAAATGACCAAAAATAGGCTTAGTATTTCAAATGATTTCAGAAACCCAGCGTTTACTGCATATGCAAGGTACTGAAGTCATTAACTATTCGATTCTCACTTATCTAGTCTGATTTATGAGCTGTAAATGTGCCAGCACCCTCAACTCTTTGCTCTTTCTTTCTTTATCTCTTTTGGATGAGAATCATAATCATGAGCAAAAGAGTTTTGTTCTATGGACTTTTCTATGACTGACATGATGTGATCATCCGTGTGCTCAACAGCCTCTATTGTGCTGTATTCAAATGAAGTCATAATCCATTTTAAAACTGAATGATGCATTTACCAACTCTGAGTTGGAAGACATGTCGTAAACAAAACAGAAATAAATAACAATATTGAATTAATGTTATAGTTAAAAAAGAACAGTGCAGTAATTGTAGTTGTTTTAATACATTTCCACATCCATTTCTGAAGACTGATGCATCATCAGTCTCTTGTTTTATCACACAAAGTTGTCAAGCACTTGAAGTATCGCTGCATGGGATTATATTTTGAAAGCAGGAGTTTTTGGCAGACAGCCTTTGAGTGAACTCTCTCTGAAAGAATCTCTCTCCTCGTCAGGTCAAGGCCTGAGTGTTTAGACAGTGCAGCCGGTGAAGCTCCATATTGTTTAGACAAGCTCCCAAACATACGGGCTGCAGTATGTCCCATTACCCTCCTGCTGCTGCGTGTGTGCCATCTCTGCTCTGTACATTCTTAGTTTAACCTAATTTCAGACTTCAATAAGGACTAGGGATCTATTCTCTCGCACAGAGAAATCTGAGGCCAACAAAACCAATAAGAACACAGTGGGATGTGTGTCCCGGTGGGTTTCAGCAGCTGCTGACTCTCACCTATGTGTGAAGCTAAAGAGTGTGTTTTACGTTTAGTTCCACATCATTATTAAAGCTGAAGTAAGATAAGTTATTCTTAAATGTCCCTGTAGGAAATTTGTCCTCTACTTTTGACCCATCCTTCAAATGCCACTCCACTTTCAGGAGCAGTGAACCCATCTCCAGATGTTTGAGGCTCAGCTTGGTCAGGACTACCAGAGCTGGAGGATTTTACTATTATATTTGTTGTAGTAGTTGCTGATTGGACACATTTATTTTAGTTTAATTGATATTCTTGATTCAGAATCAGAATTATGTTTATTGTTAGTAACAGTAAGTCACAAACTAGGAATTTGTTGTGGCTGATGGTGCAAAGAAGTTATAAAGAAGTAAAAAAAAAAATAAAGATTTTTCTGGTGTGTCCAGGGACTAGAAAGTTACAGTATTAAGTTTTCTCTTTATGGGAGAAGGCAGGTTATGAATGTTGAGTTTGCCTGTTGTTGTCACTGTCACTGTGATAATGTGTATTTTTCCTCTGCCTTGTGTCTTTGTGATTGTGGCGTCTCCAGATTGTCATTTTTGACCTGTTCTATCTTTCGTTGTTGCAGGAAGAGAAGGGCATTTCCTGTGCACTTGTTAACTTGGACTTCCTCAAATGCAGCGTGGGATTTCCTTTCATGAGAGCACAGACCAAGGTAGAGTCCAAACCAAAGTTTATAACAACCGTAGTACAGCTCATGGCCACAAAGACTCTAAATTCCTCTTTTTTATATAATATTGTATATCTAGCAGCAGCTTTACTATTGCTGTATGTCTTGGCAAAATTCCATTGTCTATTGTTACAATCTGTAGTCCGTCTAATGTGCTGTTAATGAAATACGATGCCGCTATTTGAAAAGTGGAACCGATTTTATATGACGTTTAGCACCTGTCGCGTTTGGCTCAATCTTATAATTTCTTTCACTTTCTGTCTCTCCTCCAGTATCATTTCGCAGTGATTTTCGACACCAGCCAGCTCTCGGGAGAAAATGACACGCTGCAATTTTTAGTTCTAGCAAAAAGGTGACATAGTTTGCGCTGGATCTTTGACTGACTTGATGATGGCTCACAGAGTAATAAATATTGTTGTTACAGCGCCAACCCTGAGCACAAACTGCACGACAACACATTGGACCTATCCATCCCTCTCGTCCATGAGACTGACACCACCATCACCGGGTAAGAGCAGGTCGTCGCTACGGTGGATGTGGATAGACAGAATTATTTATTTTCTTTCATGTTTTTAATTTGAGTTTTTATCAGTAACAAGACATTGCGATGTTTCATTATAGATACAGTTATGCCACACGTTCTTGCATTCGTCAGCGTATACAGTTGTGCTTGAATGATTACATACCCAGGCAGAAATATCACTCCTTTGGGCATGTTTTTAAAGAGTACGAAAGATAAAACACGTACTTTTTTCCAACTCATTGTTAGTGGTTGTATGAATATATTGTCAAATAAATACATATTGAAATTATAATTATGATAACACATTGAGCCGCTCTGTGGAGATCTCAAACGTGTAGTTCATCTAAGGCGGCCAAGAGAAATGTGCAGCTTTTAAGAATGTAAGATAAAGAACGTCATCTATAACTTCCACAAAGGTTTCCAGCTGTCATAAGTGTTACATGGAAAGTACAAGCTAATGAGAACTGGGGCATGTAAACTTTTAATCATGATCAGCGAAGTAGTTTCTGTTGCCATTGCCATTTGAAAACAGAAAACGCATTGATTTGATAATATATTTGGCTTAACACAACCACTAATTATGAGTGGGCAAAAAAATATATTCTGATATTATTGATAATCTCAGAAATATCGACATGACAAATCTGCATTTTTGTAAGTTTTTACTCACAACCGCATAACAATGTATTTTTTGTTGTTGTATCCGAATACGTCAAGATTTAGCTTTCTTTGTTTAATGTTCTCATAAAGTGCATTGCATATGTTATTATAAGGATCTCGCTTCCATCTGGCAGTGGGAGGATGTGAGGGAGTGTGCTGGTGTCAGTATGGGCCATGTCAACTTAAAAAGCCTTATCTGTGAACACTTTATCATGGCTCTGGTTCAATGAAGCGGGAGAGAGATGCAGAGCAGGGCCAGAAGTCTGATAAAGCTGCTGTTTGAATGTAAACGGCTCTCGCTAGAAAAACAAAACATGTCTGAATTGTATCACTGAAAACTCAAGTGCTGAAACAAAGGGACTTACCAGGCTTTTGTGAATGTCAAAACTGTTTTTATTATTGCCGCATGAAATATCCCATCTCTCCTCTGCAGTTTGGTGGCACCGAGCTCCTTCGCTTATGGAAACACTGTGGATGCTTCGCGCTTTGTCCTGTTAGACGACATGGAGTGCCAGTTTCAGCCGCTCAATATCACTTTCCAGGTATTTCAGTAATAAATGCATTGGTAACTACAACTCCTAGGTCTGAAGTGACTGATTCACTTTTGCTGGACAAATTCTGAGCAAAATGATGTAAACTGACTTTAAGGTGATTTAAGAATGCATGTTTTTGACCATCTGACCCTGTAGAGTACGAATGATAAAACACATAATTCATTGTTAGTGGTTGTTTGATAATATTGTCAAACAAATGCATTTTCAAATTATAATTATAATAATACAGTGAGCCGCTCTGGGGAGATCTCAAGCGTGTAGTTCATGCAGGGCAACCAAGAGGAATGTGCAGCTTTTACCGTCAGAGAGATAAAAAACGTCATCTACAACTTCTACAGAATACTCCAAGCTGGGGGATGTAAACTTCTAATCAGGATCAGAAAAGTAGTTTCTGTTATTATAGAAAATAGAAAAAACATCGATTTGCCAATATACGGCTGAACACAAGCACTAAAAATGAGTGGGGAGGTAATATATTATTGATAATCTCAGAAATATTCACACAACAAATCTGCATTTTTGTAAATCACAACCGTACATTTACATGAAAGATCAAGTAAAGTAAACCCGTTTGAATTATATTCTATTCTAACCACCACCAATAAGATTTGTTGGAAGAGAACAGTCAGACCAATGGCATGGGGCCTCATCTGTGTAAAAAGGGTGTAAATTAATTCTGTCCAATCAGGAAGCAGTGGAGGTGGGTATAGATGTCTCTCTCTCCACAATTTGACCTAATATTCACTTTAAGAGTCTTCTGGAAAAATGTTTCCCCAAGTGATGCAGAAATGGTCCAGTTAAAGTGAACAAGACTAACAAGTGGGAACGCTCCCTTATTCAGCCCTCTACGGCTAAAACCGTAACGTACGAGAAGGGAAAGATGAAAAAGATTTGTAATTGGAAGGAAAATCCACAGATGATAAATACTCTTCTGTACTTTTGTATGTGAATGTCCGTCACTTGTCATGTGATAAAATAATGTGAAGCGGCAGTTAGACCGGCCCATGCTCACCCTCACAGCACATCTTACTGGTCAGGAGGGATTGTATGAGAAATATACTTTTAAAAAAGTCTGAATTTACGGCGGCACGGTGGCAGAGTGGATAGCACTCTCGCCTCTCAGCAAGAAGGTCCTGGGTTCGAATCCCGACCAGGGTCTTTCTGAGTGGAGTTTGCATGTTCTCCCTGTGTCTGCGTAGGTTTCCTCCGGGTACTCCGGTTTCCCCTACCACTAAAAATATGTCCAATAGTTCAGGCATGTGCCTCCTGTACTGGCCTCGCTCCCCTCTCTGTGTGGAGTGAGAGACTAATGCCCAAAATTAACAATTGTAAACCGCTTTGAGACTCAGATCTGCAGTGAAAAGGCGGTATATAAATAAAGATTACTTACTTACTTACTTACTTACAAAATAGTACAAGGTCATTTGGTCAGAAATATGCATTATTATAAAAGTGAGAAACAATTTAAGTTGTTGGCAACGCATAGTCGTAATAAAATGGATTTACAATTTGAAATACAGAGAGCCAACAAAAGCTGCTGTATGTGCAACAGAGGCTTCACTGTTATTGCTCAGTTGCTCCATAAATATGAAAAAAGATTCCTGATTTTTGACTTTTCTTGGTCCATGTGATTCCAGGCCATAAACAACGGTCCCAGTCGTCTTCCTGGCTCCACTGTGGACGTTCGGATCCCAAACCGCCTGGTCAGCAACGGTGCAGACATGTTCCACATCGTCGACACACAGGTGCTCGGACTGCTTTATTTACCCAGCTCAAAATCATTATTTATGAGTTTATTCACCTGCAGACACTTTGTGGGCACAGCTTACATCCCTCTCCCTTCGTTCACTTCAGCTGCCTGAATTCACCTTTCAGGACAATGTTATTCTCAGAAACCTGCAAAAATGGGGTTTCAAGGCATATGACTTTCGTTGTGGGGGGCACCTCGGGGCTAGTGAAAACGAAAGTGAAAAAATGTTGACGTAGCTACTGGAGCTCGGCCCGTCATTTTGTTTCACAACATTTTACATTTAGATAACGCAATGCAATACTCCCAGTGGGTTATATGTATTTGTTTAACCCGTGGGTTGCCCCGTCATATAGGTAGGAGCTCAGATTGTTAATTGTATTTGCTTTGAATGAGAAGCTCGAAGAAGTGACTGTGTCTTGGCCTCCAACCAAAAAGCATCTGGATTCACTTAAAGGGGATCAGACGACTTGCACGAAATGGGAACGGGACACCTGCAGAGCTGCTACCGCTGTGTACCGTCCCGCGCTGGAACCACATGTCACAAAGGCTGTTAATGTATCATCTAGTATGACATATTGGACACATTTTTTAAAAGTAGCTGTTCTTACGTTGTATCGTGAGTTTAGCTGGTGTGGAAATGATTTACTGCACAAGCCGAGAGCGAGAGTGAAAGTTGCATCTGTAAAAGCACAAAACAATGGTTTATTTTACAGATCTTTTCCAACTTAATCATATAACAAACAAACATAAACACTGTGGGGGATTAAATCACTGATTTAATTCAGAACATATGGAAACATTGGACAAAAGAGATATAGCTGAAAAACAGGGGCATCTTAGCCATTGTAACGTTTAAAGCTGGGGTACCTAACTTTTCGTTTCCTAAATAATACACTTTGCAAATATCCGTACCATAGAAGTCTGAATTTCAATTCACTTTATTTTTGTATTACCCTAAATCATAGAAGTCGTCGTGGGGACTGTACAAATTTGTTGATTAGCCAACAACAAATTAGAGAATCAAGAATCCAGTTTGAACACGGGAAATGCCAAAATAACCAATACATTGGAACCATTGGTCCATATGGGTAGCAATGTCCATAAATGTTGCATGAAAATGTGCATCACATTTTCAAAAAGCAACAAGTCGTCTTAATTTGATTAGAAAGTACTTTTTGACTTCGCGCTGTGGGTTTTATTTGTTTTGGACATTTGGAAACGGTCACAGGACATGAGCCAGCTTTGCAGTAGAAGTACATAAGATGACCACACAAGAGGGTGGCAGCCTGGCAAACAATGAGGAGAGATATTTCCCCCATGCAGAGCTATGGGACAGCCTGAAGAGGAAGAGGAGAAAGGCTCCCGAGGGACGTGGACGTAAAACAGACACCCCTAAATTATTCCATATGGGAAACGGGACGGGGAGGGGTGGCACCTCTCAGCTGGGTCGGCTTTCCTGTCAGCACTGGGAGTCATAATGATAATGGTTTAGGCCACTTAAGGTGACGAGAATGCTGATGTCACAGAACTGAAAGGCCACTGAAGGCCACCTCTCCCTTACTTTTATTGATTGTATTTCAATTAAATGTAGGCGTGTCATTTAAAATCTAAACTTAATTTCTTTAGGTGGCAGAAGGCAGAGGGAACTGTACCCCGCACAAAAACCCAACTCCATGCACCATCCCACAGGACAAAGAGAGCATCTTTCACTCAATATTTGCTTTTTTCACCAAATCGGGTCGCAAAGTCTTGGTAATTATTTAAGATTGCATATTTGATGTTGTGATTCTCAATTGTGTCAATCACTTGTATTTCTTGTGTAACAGGATTGTGACAGACCCGGACGAGCCTGTATGACCATTACATGCACTCTTGGTCCACAGCTCAAAGAGGACATTATAAATATTGATATAAAACTTCTACTGAACACTGAAATATTAAAAAGGGTAATGTCTATTAATTCAATGATTATAGTTACGTTTTTTTAATTGGTTTGTGCTTTGACTCAACTTTGTATAGTCTTGTCTATATTGTCTTGTCTATCCCATCCCTGTTTTGTACATTTCTTCATTGTGAGATAAATAAAGTCTATCTTATCTTATCTACAGGACAGCTCCTCTGTGATCCAGTTTGTGACGAGGGGCAGTGTTCAAATCAGTGAGCGGGCAGTGGAGGTGCCAAAGGGGCTGCCGGAGGAGATCTCAGTGAGTACATCTATAAATGCTTTCATTCTGAGCTTTGAGATTATGTCCCTGCATGCACAGCAAAAAGTAATGAAAAAATGTGGGTACATGCCAGTATACATGAAGTAAAAATGGTTCCATCCATTTAAGCCAAAAGGCCAAAAGGTCTTTCACGCCTCAATCTGCTCCGGCTGCTCAATCAAACAAAATTGGACAAGGTGAATTATCTGGTTTTCACTAGTGCCTTATAAACATACTCTCTGGTGTCCTGTCCCATTGTTAGCAGTTCTTGGCGGGTTCAATTCCTCCTCCATGCCTGTCTGTATTGGCGTTCACATGCTCTCCCTGTGTCTGCATAGGTTTCCTCCTGGTGCTCCGGTTTCCCCAACCACTAAAAACATAAACAATAGAGCCCCATAACCCCAATCCCACCCTCTCTCTCACTGGGGCCAGGACTCTCCCTAACCCTAACTTACCTGGTTAAATAAATATATATGTTTTGGTTTTTTTCACATTTTGAATCAAAAAGTGAACATGATTACAGACATAACAGACAAAAACAGAAATAAAAAAATAAAAAATATATATAAATATATATTATAAAAAAATATAATAGTTAATTCATAGTTAGAATGGATACATAAATAAATACATAAATGCGATGCAGATGGCTAAAGAACCTCCCATGCGTTTTTACGACCACTGTATGATCAAAAACATTCTTCTCTTTTATCCAACACTACAAATGCGCCTGTTGAGCCGGTGGCCCACATTCAGTGATGCGTCGACTGCTGTTGGTTTGTTGAGATGTGTATCAAGCAGCTGTGAGTGTGTGCTCCATGAGTTTGGGTCCTCAGCTGTGCACAAGGACGCCCTCCCTCTCCTGCGCTGAGTGATTGAAAAGCCCTCTAGATAAAACGTAACGATCACGGTGAGCTCTGCAGATGCATCATGTGATTAGGACGCTCTCTGGGCCGCAGCCTCGTGACCCTGCGAAGCTGATGTTTGGAAAATTTCAATGTATACGACCGCAGCGTGGCCTTCCTTCAACACTTTTCCAAGGCGGTCATTCCAGTAGCTATTGCCCCCACAGGCCTCAGTAGACACAGAGAGATTGTCCCATAACCTCTGACTCTTAACTGCATTCTGTGGATCTGTGGGGCTTTATTTTGGTAAACACTTCCTAATAATGCACAATGTCTTTACAATTCCACTTTTCAGCAGCTCCCTTTGCTCACGGAAGATTGGTAAAAACAATTGGGCGCTAAACTAGGATGTATTTATGATATTTTGGGCTGGCACATGGCACACAAGTTTTAGAGATGTATGCTCCATCGAGATACAGAAAACTGACATTTTCCAATGAATTATAGACTTATTGTTTTTCCCAATTAAATAACAGACCAGACACCACTATTGTATTTGTCGAAGATTTGTCAAAGATGATTTAAATATGTCAAAACTAGTGTTACCAAATGTCTTGAGAGTGAGGAACTATTTTAATGGGTTTTTATTATCTAGTAAAAAAAAGTGTGGTTTGAAAGTCAGATACAGCGATATTTAATGTAAAATGAAACTTCATCACATGCAGTAATTACTACAAAACTGAAAATAGTTCTAATTTATGGCTACTGTCTTGGCCTCTATAAGTACCACCCTTGTGTCATCACTTACCCGCCTTGGTAAACACAGTTACCTCGTCCCTTAGGAGCTGTGCTGACCGAACACCCTAACTCTGATTTGTGAGCTCCTCTCAAACTGAAGTTACCCCCCCTGACACGTAAACAAGCCCCTCTGTGGTATCCCAGTGCTATGTCCCAAATCTTAGTGGCTATGTTGAATGAATTTGACTTATTCCCACAATCTGCACTTGTCAATTTAAGAGTCAAAGGCCAATGTCCATTTGAGCTTTCATGTGTTTTCTATACGCAAGTGCTTTGGCATGTAGTCCGGCATGTGCAGCAGGGGAGAGGGGGCTGTTAATGTGGGAAAGAATTCAACAAAGAGATTAATGCGCTCTTGTCCACTTGGTTTTGTTTTACAGTTGGTGTCGCATGCCACATTTATGTTGCAGCAATGTCCTGTCAAGAACTGCTGTCTTCATTAGCCCACATTTCACTTGATTTATTAAAAAGAGACGTAGCAGTGCCTCTATTCTACTGGTTTTTGAACAGATTTTAGTTTAGTTGAATGATATTTTGTCTTTCTAACCTTTCTAACCAGGGACCAACATTTTATCTTGGAAATGTTAATAAGTTTGCACGTTCTTTTTTAACTCAAAATACAGTGGAATAATAGTAATCAGATACTGTAAATGAGCAGCATTTCGTCTTTTTCTCCAGGACAATAGAGAAAAAGAAATAACATGTAATTGTTTCACTCTCACCTCCTCGTATAATGTTTGTAGCAGTTTTAAATTGAGCACAACGAAGATCAACATCAGCTTCTTCTGACGCTCATTAAATTATACTCATCTGGTCCGGAGGAAAGCTGTATTTACATCTCACAGTACTTTTAATTGTCTGATAATCAGTCCAAGTAATTTGTAGGAAATGAACCATGAACCAAAGTATCAAATGGCTTCAAAGCAAATGTGTCACTGGCAGTCTGATAGAACCAATCTAGATTCTAATTGTTTGGAGATTTGTTTGTTTTTGCACATCCATCAATTTCTTCCATTGTATCCATTGCAGGGGGCTGGTTCAGCCGACAGAGCAAAGATGCCCAGATATATCCAGATACATTTCATCCAGCTCATCCGGGGGGATCCTGGGGTGTTCCGGGGGGTCACATAGACGTGTTACGCCCTGTTAGTCTGCACACAGAGCCTGCTCTGGCCCTGGCTCTCAGCGGTGACCGGCGGAGACCCGCTTTAGACACTGCGAGTTTAAAAACGCACAAACTGAGCAGAGCCGCGTGGAGTTGAGCCTGTGTAATATGATATTAGTCCAAATTATATTTTTCCAAATGAAATGGTTTGATACTGCTTGTGCCATTTACCACCTACGTAAAAGTATAACTTCTCAAAGGACAGTCCATCATATATAATGTACTGTTAAGGATGTCAATTATTTCTGTTATGCAGTTTCTGATATTTCTCATGAACTCCCTTTTTTGAGGGAGTAAATAAATGTATCTATACTCATTAATTTAGAACCAGAAAGACACAAAAGTTAAAGGGAGTGAAATTATAAATGACCAGGTCCTAGCAATCTGCAGTAACTCATGAATCTTTGTTCAACACTATCTCTGTACATAGTCAGTTTGATTCTTTATTAAAATCCTCTCATGCAAATAGCTGTTTACTGTTTATCCAGCTCAAATGGTGGTTGGCGCCGGTGGCTTGTTACCTGCTGTGACAAAGGTCGGGCAGACCATGACCCGGTCCTGAGTCTGTCACTCAATATATAAATAGTTTTTTAAATGCATGTGTATATAACATTTAATATTTCTGGATTACAATTAGTATTTAGTATGAATTTTCAGTATTGCCAATGACGTGTACTAAATGTTGAACTTGTGTATGGTTCAGCCCATATTTGCAGCATTTCTATCTATGTAATTATTTGGCAGACAACACCATCATGGTCTGTGAAGCACTGGCTCATGAACTGGATGGTCGCTGACTTCACACCTTGGGCAAGACACTTCATATTCAGTGCCTTCAACCCTCACAATATTATATTTGCTTTAACGGGAGTTACTTTTAGGCCACTAACCTCACCCATGAAAAGTTACGTCTCAAAGTTACGACATGTCTTCCGTTATAGTTTCCCTCCATTGCATCACCTCCGTCCCCCACCCTGTTACGTGTGCAGTGACTCAGACTAATCAGACCTCTCTGTGTGTGTGTGTTTCAGTTGATCTTTGAGGCGCTCCACAGCCAGGAGCCCCGGGGGTACGTGGTGGGCTGGATCATCGCCATCAGCCTGCTGGTGGGGATCCTCATCTTTCTGCTGCTCGCTGTGCTGCTGTGGAAGGTATGTCACGCTGAACCAGCACAATCTGCTCACTTCCCCTTAATGAGAAACGGCTGCATCAGCGTTTTTGTGAGGAGTTTGTATTGTAAACAAGCTATAGTCATCCAAAGATCTCATTATAAAAGGCTACGTGCTGGAAGTGCTACGTTAAGATTGTGATCTATAAAACCACAACATGATAGAAAATAGACTGGAAACACAAAAAGGGTCATTTCAGATAACCCTAACCTTATGAATGTCGCCATTTTATCCCCAGTAATCTTTTAAATGTATTTCATCTGACCACCAATACCCACATTCATAAATTAGGCAAGAAGTGTTTTGTCTAGCCGCTTACAATGACAGTTTAGCAACTTTAAAATTGAGGCTCTGAGTCTGATGTGCGCATGAAAGATCAGTGGTGGTCTGAGATTGGCAGCCTCCCTACTAGTCAATCCCAGGGCAGCTGCGGCTACAGTAGTAGTTTACCACTGCTGTGTATAGAGCGATTGAGTAATGTGAAGAATCTTTGACTTCACAATGACTTACATCGTTGAGGGTCCAAAAAAGCACTCTACAAAGCCGATTATTTTTATTGGACTATTCAACACCTGGTTTTCCCAGCGATCTCCATTCCAAGGGCTACCCAGGCCCAGTCCTGCTTGTAGCTTTCCAGATCAGACAAGAGATCAACAACTGATGCCACACTTTCATAATATTGATCTCATTTTGCCACCCATACTTTGTAACTGTTAAATCTCTATATGACAACAGTACCGTGAGCACGCCATTGTGTAAACTAAAGGGTAGACTTTATGAGACAGTGACCATAGTATATGTGACAAAGATTATCTGCATTATATAGTTTTAGTATAAATAAAATAAAGTCATTTAACTACAACAGGGTCCAGCTGTATTGGGACAGCTGGACGTCACACAGCGAGTGGGCAGGGCTCAAAAGTAAACTCTCACGATAGACCAACAATTCACACCATAACAGTCGCATGAAAGAGCCGCTCCAATGGGAAACCTCATTACGCCGATTCGGTATAGGCCTCCTTTTCTTTCTCTGATGCTCCACTCTCCGCCGGGAATACCACGACTAAACCCAGGAATGTTCGACCTGGGATAGATTTCCCACAGTTCCGCAAGTCTCTCGGAACTTGCCAAAATAAACGCCACTTACAAGAGCAGCACATGTCCTGTATTGCTCGGAGCAGGAAATGCCTGAGGAGAGCACGGGTCTGTATCAATAAACTGTATTAGTCAAAAGCAGATAAATGGACGGCGTCTTGGTGAGAGAGGCATCACCCCTGCACCGGCCGCTCCACACTATCACAGCTTTGAATATTCCTAAAGAAACACTGCGTCTTCAGTAGAGCGCAGCTGCTGCTATCGATGTTGGTGGTTTGCCGCGATTCCGTCCATTAACTTCACATTGGACACCTCTCATAACATCAGAGTATTTAAAAAGGCTTATACCGTAGTTTAAACATGCGCCTTCCCACTGCGCTAACCTTTGTCATAATGTTGGAAGATGTAGAAAACGATGGTTGTAAAAAAACACCAGCCTGTGTTTCTCCATGCAGTGTACCACTACCTACTGGGACTATTTAAAGTGCTTTGACAGTGTCTCAAATCGGTTATGACCATTTTTATCTAAGAAAGAAGATACAGTAATTTGCAAAAGATATATAAAAGCCTACAATGATTAATTGCAATAGCTGTAGCTAATTGGCTTTTAATCATTGACTATATTTTTATTATAGTCCTGGTGTCCAAATATGGCTCTCAGGCTAATGTTGTTGGTCCTGAAACTGTCTAATGGATCAGAGTCAAATACATTATTTTGTTTACCCAAAATCACAACAGTGGACATATCAAAGAGCATCACAATTATTTATTCCCCAACAGGTGATTAGAAAATAAAACATTGCAGCACATAAAAATACCTCTCTATATTTGAAAACGGGTTAACCATAGACCTCCTATGCTGGATCATCCTCTGTCTTTAGACCCTTATGAATCTGATAATGTAAAGAAATTACTTAAAAAGACTTACAAAGACGTATTTGTTGCCCCCCCCAAATATTGTGGGTTTTTTTCACACAGGATTTTTACCTTTGTTTGAACTTTGTGTCATGGTGCACATTATTTATATTCCCCGCGTGGCACTTCCAGGACTGCCTTGGCAGCCACCTGTTACATCATCAATCTCCAGTGGCTTCGGTTTTAACGGTTCATGAACATAAAATAATATGAAATACTTTCTGTCGAGCGTGGTATTGTCCGAGTGATTTGTTAATGATGTGTAGAACTTGTGAAACCACTGGTATGGCCTCGGAGACACTCATAACTCATATTTGATCCTGTTTTTGGCAGTTGGGCTTCTTCCGACGACGCTATAGAGAAATCATCGAAGCTGAGAAGAACAGAAAGGACAGTGAGGAAAGCTGGGACTGGATGGAGAAAAATCACTGAGACTTATCGACTTCAGATTGGGTCAAAACGGATCCAATTGCATCGGCTCTCATAGCCCAGCGTACCCCTGCAGTCTTCCATATGTGGAAGAGAGGAATTTCTCCATTTTTTTTGGAGGCTTTGTATTATTTTCATTGGAGCGGCGGTGGGGGTCCGGGAAGATAAGACTTCTGAGGTGACAGTGCGTGACTTTCAAAAGAGGACACTTAATTATCTCCACGAAGAGGAACTCCCAGGACAGTCACAGCCGGGACGTCCTGAACTGAGGATGGGGAAAACGGCTTGATATAGTGGACAACCATACCCTCAGGGCGGTGCGACAGAGCAACTTTATTTTTATACGTTCACTTAAAGCCATATTATGCAGAAGAGGGCTTCGTGAGGAGTTGGCAACATACCCACTGGTCACTGGTATGTTTTTGTAGCACTGATGTCAGATAAAATGGCTCATAGTTGTACGTTTTGCCAAAGATATGTCCTGTACAGTGTGAGATTATCGAGTCCGTTTGTATATTCAGACATTTCCGGGAGTTTGCGATGGTATCTTCCCTGTATCATTTCCTGCTTGTGCACATCTGTCCAACTCCCCCCTCCTCAAAGCTAATTCTGTGTTCTTCACCCTACTGTCATTGAGACCTCGTGTCCTTATGTCCTCAGTCAGAGCTCCCAGTTAAAGAAAAGTCTTGTGAGATCATTAAACCCAGTTAACACTTGATTAACCACACTCATATAGTTTTACTCAGCAGATTAAAGCCACAAAAGCTGCCATTGATCGTGCTGGTGATGTGATTCTCAGTTGTGTCCTGATTTTAGGTGTCAGACTTTTTATGGAAAACAAACGGTTCATTTTTTTCTCAGGAGTGAATCCAAAGATGATCACTTTGCTGATATATCCTGCTTGTGTCACTTTTAGTTAGTTTCTAGAAATTATGGGCTTTTCAAAGTGCAATATTACAATGGACAGGACTACAAAATACTTCAAGCTTTAGCTTCTGGAGAGAAGAGTTCACTTCACCTGACAACAAGAATGGATCTGATTTCTGCCTTTTAAAACAAAAGTATTGCATTTGAATTTCTCCAGTTATGAATGGCATCAAATTGTTCATTTTAGATCTATATCTAGCAACATGTAATTGATCACATATACCACTAGATGAGTGTGAGTCTAGTCATATTATATCAATCAGTATTTTTTCTGAAGAAAAAAAGTCTGATTCTGAATTTGTAAATTAGTAAACGGGCCACATTGAACATAAATAATACTTTTTGATCTTTATACAGTACACACCAAAAGTTTGGGCACACTTTCTGATTCAATGAGTTTCCTTTCTTTTCATGACTATTGACTGTAGATTCACACCCAGGCTGTGTAAGGGCTATTTGACCAATAAGGAGAGTGGTGGGTGCTGGGCCAGATGACCTGGCCTCCACAGTCACCGGACCTGAACCCAATCCAGATGGTTTTGGGGTCAGCTGGTCTACAGTGAAGGCGAAAGGGCCAACAAGTGCTACTGTAAGCATCTCTGGGAACTCCTTCAAGACTGTTGGAAGACCATTGCAGGTCCTCTTGAAGCTCATCAAGAAAATGCCAAGAGTGTGTGAAGCAGTAATCAGAGCAAAAGGTGCTACTTTGAAGAACCGAGAATATAACACATATTTTCAATTGTTTCATTTTTTTTCTAGTACATACATAATTCCACATGAGTTAATTCATAGCTTTGATGCCTTCAGTGTGAATCTACAATTTTCATAATCATGAAAATAAAAAAACTCTTTGAATGAGAAGGTGTGTCCAAACTTTTGGTCTGTACTGTAGGTGTATCTTTTCTTGTAGAGGTTTTTGTTTTATGGAAATATTATTGAATTTACTGGAGTGTTCACAATATGTTTCTTACATTCCATTTCACTAAAACCAGGTTAGCTTTAGGCCTCACCTGGCCTGATGTTGTCACCTGCTTCTGTCCAAGTTTAATGTCATATTGCAAACCTTTACACACAAATAAATCCACTTGAAAGCAGACCTCTACCTCTTGGTCTGTCCTCTACACGTTCCTTAAAAAACGTCCTCCAGACATTGATCTAGGTCACCTCCAATGTTGTTCCATTACCGAGCTTTACTGAACATGTTATAAATATCTGCCTATGTCCCTAACTAACAGACAGACAAACCGGAACCAACCCATTACCCCCTCGTGAAGGTAAAATTGACCACCAGTATGTGAAACAACCCCAGAGTTCGAGATCCTTTGCCCCTGGAAATGATCTGCAGGCTTCATCCCGGCAGCACTGATCTAGTTTTATCCCAAAGAATCCCAGACCTCCTAAAGGCACAATTTAATTTTACTATAATGTTATTAAGTTTAACAATGAAATATGAGAACTTGCATTACTCTTCGTACAGATGAAAGCACATGTGAGGAGTCTTCCATCCGTTTATTGGGGCCCGTCTGGACTGAGTAATGTCCTAAAAATAGGCGAGAATGGACTGCGCTCAATCACGGCACATAAAGGACCTCACTGGGAGATCTTATTTTAGTCAACATGAAGGAATGCTCTAGCACTGTCTCCAATAAAGTCCAAATGTATCTGATTTGACCTCACACTGGCTATTATTTTGCAGAATGGGGCCCTCATTGTGAAATATACTGACAGTAGAGGATTCCCATGTTTTATATGAACTGAAGCCCATATGAATAATGGCCCTTGAAACATGTTTGATTTTGCTTTAATTGTAGTCTATATATGTATAAACGGAGTAGGAGCGGTTGCATTATGCGTAAAGAAATGTGCAATGCGAAAGATGAAGATTCAAGCCCCAAGACACTTTAGTTCCAACTGCTTTGCTTTCTCTGTTGCGCTGTTAATAGACTCACTCTTATCCTTATACTCTAAACTCATAGCTTAATGCAGAAAATCCAACACTTGATTTTTGTTTTACTAACTGTGATGGATGTATTTTTGTTTTTGAATGTTTAAATGTTTAAATGTGTAAATTATCACAAATTTCCCCACGTTGTAATGTTGAGGTTTGGCTCTGAGTATACTACTGTCACTGAGTATCATTTCCATTATAGTTTGCTGTATGTTTGGTGTTAAAATTTGTTTAATTTCAAAGCTGAATATTTATCTGTGGATAAAATAATAGAGTGGATTTCTACTGGTTTGTCTTTATTTCTAGAGAAGCAGGGATGTTGAAGGTGTGTAGTGCCATCTGGTGGCCTATGTGCAAACATACAGATGAGAAACTCTTGATGTTGAGTGGCTTAAATTTCAATTGCAAAAAGTGGGACTGCACGCAGTATAACTGTTTAGCTAGTTATAAGCTTATTTATCTTTCAAAAACAGAACTGACCAAATGAACACACTCGGGGATACTATGAACTCAACAATTTGAAGCAAATTCATATATGCATTTTTTGCAGACATCTAAAAACTTCAAACTTGTTGAAAGTGTTCGGTCTCAATCAATGGTTTAAATATATTGTTTTATTTATTCTAATGCGGTTGGCATTTTTATTTATATTGTCCTTCAGGAAACCAGGCCTGTAAGGCAATAGCTTTGCTGACATGGTCTGTGTACTCGTTACTGAATCCTTGATTATAAGAATGAATGGAATGATGCCTGGTCATGTGACACCAGTTGCTATGACACTTCCAGCCTCTTTGTTAAATGTTATCAATAATTCATATCTGCTCCGTGGACACAGTACAGTGCTGCTGTCTCTGCAGATAGAACTACCATGTCCACACTCCTGGATCACGGCTGTATCCGCACCACAGCCGTGGAGCAGGTGGTGGCGCCGATGGCCAGCCACTTGTGCCACCTAGTGCTGCTGTGTGACGGGGCGGAGGAGCCAGAGCAGTTCCTGCAGCTGGAGGGGTCTGCTGAGGCCGTGGCCAGGGCCACACGCAACTTGGCATCAGTGGCGTATAGGTAAGAACACATGATGGAAATGAAATGTAGGTTTGTGCCGTTTCTTGGTATAGTTTCAAACTAAACAAACTAAATGTAAATGTGAGCAGACAAGCAGAGGAGGCCCAGGATGAGCTCCTGCAGATGGACATGTCTTCTCTGGTGGAGTCCCTCACTGTGTCCGGACAACACGTGCTGCTGGCCGCTCAGAAACTAAACATCCAGCCTACAGTCCCGGAGCACCGGGAGGAGCTCATCGCTGCCACGCAAAACGTCTTCCTGGGAGTGGTCAAAGTATAACACCTTTATAACGTTATAGGTCATGTCTGCGGTGGTTTCAATTCCACCTCCTGACATGGCCTTTTTGTGTGGCTTTTGCATGTTCTCCCCATGTCTGTGTAGGTTTTCTCTGGGTGCTCTGGTTGCCTCCTTGAATAAAGCTACAATGGGATGTATTTACAACTCACACTGTTCATTAATACCCACTGTCCCATCCAAATATGTGTTCTATGAGGTGTGATGAAACTATCCTGAGCTTTCATGGAAATTGTGGGCTTGCTTTAGTAATGTTCAAACCCAACACTTCTGCTGCATGTATTCGTCTAATTAGGTCCTCCTGGTGAGTGACGACGCGTCTGTGAGAAAAGTTTTAGCTGCAGCCGACCAGGTCTTGGAGATCCTGTCTGAACTTGGCTCATCCCCAGACATCAAGACTCTTCTCAGATCCTTCCAGTCTTTCTCCGAGGCTCTGCTGGTCCTCAACAGTCTCACCATAGACCGCGCCCACTCTTTACAGGACCCCAGGCAAAAACAGCAGCTTCTTCAGTCCTTGGAAACTCTCAAAAGATGCATCTCAATGCTTCATACTGCAATGTGCACAACCATAAGACATCCGGCGAGTGAACAGGCGCAAGGTGCAAAGACGTATATTCTAGATAAAGTTCAAAACACGGTAAATGAAATAATTGTTACATTGAAAAGCGAGAGCCATATGGGGTCACTAGGCAATGGCGGGTTTTACATTTGGAGAAGAGATGGAGTATTTCAGCTACTGTCAAACCCCTTGGAGTTATCAAATCGAGACAGTGGTTTTGACAGCATGATCAGAGACATGGTTTTTCATTGTATGGGTGTCGCCAACTCTTCTCGAAGGGAGTTCCAACAGACAGTCGTGGGCCACTGCAAGCACATACTCAAATTCTGGTCGGACATAAAAAAGTTGTCCAAATCAGATGACTTAGAGGAGTTGGAAGACACATGCAGTTTGTTGGAGGAGCAGGTCAAACTACTTGACACAGAGGTAACAACTGCAGTGCTGTATCAGGTTTTAGACACATTCCTGACAGCTTCTTCAATGTTCCATGAGGTTTTTACTGTTCTAAACAAAGCCAACGAAACCAATGCGTCTACAGATGTCAACGACGTCTTAACACTGGTTGAAGACTTTATATCGTTCACTGACAAACTCGTCCAGGTGGCCAACTTTGTTTCAGCTCTTGCCCATGATGTGAAGAGTTTGGAGCGAGTCGAAACCTCCATAGCGTGTCTGACGAGGCTTAGGGAGCGGATACTCCCTCTGTCACTCGAACTGGAAGACAATGCAGACCAAACTATTCAAAAGCTCATTGAAAACTGTCAGAAATGGGAAGAAGAGACCAGCCAGCTTCAGGATGCCTTCAGCTGCATTTTAAACGTCCGGGAGTTTACGAGTACAAGTATTAGCGAGATGGTTATTGAAAGAAGTGCTTGTGACACGGCATATAGAGAGCAGAATACTGAAAAGTTTAAGGAACATTCAACCAATCTAGTTTGCCATATGAAACTGGTGATGCAAGCAGCCAGAAGACACCTAGATAGAAGCGACGATCCGATCTATAGAAATGGTCTTTTGGTGTTGTTAAAGCAAGTCCAATCATCTGTAACCAAAGTGAATGGAGCAGTTAAGGATATGCTAACAGGTCCAAGTCTTAACATAGAGGCTTATTCCACATTTTCAGACAGCATTTCCACTGCAATACAAGACTTCAAAATTGTCAGAGAGGGGCTTGATGGTCAACAGCATCCACACCTGCTCAGCCCACTGCGAGAGAGGGCTCGACAACGCGACAGTTTACGATCATCTTCTCCGATTATGGACATGTGTGAAATCATGGACAGTAATGACCATGTATTGTGTGATTCCCCTGAAGTTTTTGAAAGCTACCTCGACTCTGAACCCGAAGATGAGGAAAACCTAGAGGTGGCTGTTGAGGAGGAAGTGTCTCATAAATGTGTCAAAGTTGATTTAAAGATGTCAGATGTGTCCCGTGAGTCCAAAGTGGTTCTCAAGCCTTCTGAGTTTGACCTGCTGCCCCTCCTACATGAAGTTGTGACTGTGACTAAAGGGAAAGATGTGACGGCATTGAACCAGACTTGCACTGCCGTACTTGAGCTATCCAACTGCTATTCCCAAGCTGCAAAAGAAGCTCTAGTTTTGGTCGATTCAGTGGATTGTCAGACTTTGGAGAGATTCAGATCCGACCTGGTTTCCTTGACTCCGCTATTAGTCCAAACTGCTCAAGAAACAGCAATGAGTTCGGCCATGAGAACCGAAAGCATCTACAAACTCAGTACGCAATTTTCCGATCTCATAAACAACATGCGTGAAGTCTTAATGCCAGCAGCTGGACCATGGTCCCATTCTGTTTTCAAAATACACCAAGGAAATGGATCTAAAATGGCAACTACAGAGTCCCAGCAGCTTTCTGAAGTCATAACATTATGCGGTGATGTGGTGCAACAGCTGACATCCTCTGAAATAAAGTCACAAAGCGATGGTCAAGAGACATTTGGGGTTTTACACAATAAATTAAACAAGGCGCAAAACAATACAAGATATCTTTTAGAATTCTCCTCATCGCTAGAAGGTAGACACGAGCAGTTGGAAGGGCTGTGTATCCTTTGGGGGTTGTCCATTCAGGTCTTATTGAATTCACTGGACAAGATTTTAGGAACCACAACTGCAGTGAGTCAACTTACTTTGCAAAAACAACTGATGGCATTGTCCGAAAACTCTCTAAGAATCCAAGAGGCTGCAAGAATTACAAGTTTGAATTGTAAAAGTCCATACAAAGTCAAGCAGTTAATAGGATACCAAGAAGAACTCAAAATCGTCACTGAGGTCTATCTGCAGGTTGCTGATAACATTGATGCAAAGCCTGATGTATTGCAGCTCGCAAAATCTGAATTCCTAAAACGAAGTCTTCTTGTAAAACTTAAAGCTGTTTGTAGTCAATTGAATAAAGTAAATCATGATTATGGGAAAGCTCTTCAGAACATGGTCAACATAGCATTCTCTGAGGCACAAAGAGAAAGAGAAGAAGGTGAAGATTGCCAATCATTTGAAAAGAAGGTGGAAGTACTTGCAGAAACGATCATATCTGGCACCAAAACTGTGGAAAATAGCTTGCACTTTATCCGAGATCCACGTTCCAGATCTAACCTCAGGTCGATCAACGAGCACCTGTCTTTTCAGATTTCAGACATCATCAGTAGAGCCCGGCTCACAGTGGAGACTCAACATATTTGCGATACGCTTACTATCGAAGTCCAAATTCAAAGTTGGGCAGCTAAAGCCAACTATGTGGTGGAAGAGATATGCAAACAAGACAGCATCAACCAAGGAACTAAAGACAGCATAAGAGCTGCTTTACAAGGCGAAGCACTGGCAAAAGTACATGTAGCCATCAAAGAAGTCATTCCTGAAATCCCACTGAAAATCAAACCACTGGAGTTTCCTACTGAGGCTGCAGCTGGGGCGTCGACTTCCAGACAAGATGACAGCGTGGAGAAGTTGGAGATTTCGTTAAAGGAGGTCCCAATGTCACCAGTGTTCACCTACAGCCCTGAGCTACTAGAAAAAGAAGTGAGCATACTGCTACTTATTACATTGGAAAAGAGTTATGTCTGTTTAATTCATTTTGTCTTTAACAGGAGGTTGCAGACTTGGGCATGCCCAGAGAAGCCCCTTCACTCACACACAGATCTCTTTTCCTGAAACAAGAATCGAACAACTGGGATCCCGAGGACAATAAGATCGTCCAAGTGACCAGGAAGATGGCGGACATTATCTGTCACATGACCCAATATCTGAAGAAGAAAGGACCTATTCTGGTAAAAACAAACCAAGTGTTAAATTGAATATATAAGAATTTGGGGGGAAAAACACACACACCAATTTACTATATCATGTGCACAGTTAATTTGTCTTTTATACGTTATTTCATATTTTCTAGAACAAAGATGCTTTTGTGACAGCAGCTAAGGAGGTGGTCTCTAACTGTGAGTCCGTGACCCAGTTCATCAGTGTAATAGCCAATCACTGCCTGGATAAACAGTGCACCATCGAGCTGTCGCTAATAGTGGAGCAGATTCTGACCATCACCAACCAACTCAGCATCATCTCCAGGTAACACACGTGCTCTACAATATGACCTATGTACTTTAGGAACATATTATACAAGTGCAATTCCAGTGCACTTCATCATCTTCGTCTTTTCTTAAATGGATGGCAAGGAGATTGCTTAAGACATGAGTTACGTTTTCTAAAAAATTGCATATCAATGATCAAACAACATTTTAAAACATGTTATACTTTTAGGCCACGTATAAAAGGCCATAATGTATTATTGTACTTTGTATCAAAACATTTTCTACAGAACAGATTGTCAATTGTTATTGGGCGGCTTTCAGGGATCTTTTGATTGATCGGGGATCACCAGTGGTGGTAGAATACTTTGGGCTTCTTTAGACAAACTTCCCCTTTAATTAAAATAATGTAAATGTTTATGCCCCATATATTATGGATGTTAAAGATTCAAGATGGAGCTTGTACCAGCAATATCGATTTTTGGCGGAACTTTAGAGGCGCTGGTGTAATATCAAGACTATTTATTATTATTTTTCATTAGTGTGAATGCTGTTACGCCTGGTTCCAAATCCTCTGATGAGATTTTGGTGAAAAATGCTCAAAATCTCCTGCAGACCGTCCTCAAAGGAGTCCACGCTGCAGAGTCGGCCTGTATCACCGTAATTAGCCTTTGTAGAACTACAACTTTTATCTTTGAACTAATGTACTGGTAACTTTTTCTTTCTTATCTTTCTCTCTCAGGGTTTGAAGCAGCCTGAACCAAACACTGAATGTGCAGAGGCCACCGCTCTGTGCTTCCAGTGGAGGAGGAACCTGGAGATGCATCGCGCACAGCAGACGTCCAACCTGGAGACTGACGACTTGGGCTTGAGAAAGACCTCTGCCCACCCAGAGGCCCCCAGCCTGGCCCCTGCTGTCACTGTGCAGGACGGCTACAAGTGAAGGACACCATTTACTGCTGCTCAAACTGTGGGGTGCGAGCTCTGTCTGGCGGTGTGCAATGTACTCAGTTCTTTTACTTTACTCACACTGGTGTTAGAGGCAGATGTCCACTTTCCAGTGCCTTTAGGATTCATTTTTGTATTGAAGTGTTGTTTCTGTTAAGTGCTTATTTGGAGGGGTATGGGAAATGTTCTTTTCTATTGCATTGATATGTATTCCGATTTGTAGCACTCTTTAGTTACATCATGTTTCCTTTGTTGTGCTGTGTAGACTTGTTTTGAAGTTGTATTAATTGTGTGATAACTTATTGTGGGTGACAGGATCATGTGTGGACTATAACTGTGATCTATAACTCAATTGTAACATGCACCTTTATAAGAACATTCTTGCACACTAGACTTCTGTAAAACTGTTAAACTTTAATTATGTTTCAGTTTGTAACAATTTAAATCACAAACAAGCAAAATGTGTTGATAAAGTTCCATGTGCGATCTTGTAGTGCTTAAACAAACATAAAACACTGCAGTGATAGAACATGATAGTAATATTAAAAACATTATTAAAAAGTACATGTTTTTCAGTTTTCAGAAAGTCTAAAAGAAATGTCAGTCAACACAATGAAACAGCAAACATACAAAACGTAGATAATCCAATATGAAAAATGGTGATATATGATGAGCACATACACATGAACTTAGAAATAGAAAGGGCCGTGTTTAAAACCCTTACATCAGTGCCATGTTTATTTACAATGACTATACGGTGTAAATGCGACCATTTTTATCCTATGGAGTCAAACTTTACAGTTGTGACAAAGCAAGTCTGAAGAAAACACACTTTCTTAAAACATATGCGCGTAAAACAAAAAAACGCTATAAAAATATCCCTTTTAAAAATGAGCACAAAATGAGGTAAAAAATTAAAACGTAAGAAAATATATAAAAGGTTTTTCTGAACTTTTTCAGTAAAGTGATGTCAAGGACTTGGTCGACGTGAGTTAACATTTAAACAACACTAAGCGGACAGCTGCATCTCAACACAATAACAGGAAATTGTACTTTATTTCATAACACGCAAATTATTTTTGCTGCAACTAAAAACCTTTTTTGTCAAATTATCACAGTAGGTTAAAACAGCAACATTTTAAGGCTCAAAGAGAATATTTACAAACAAGTCCCCAAACAAATCCCCAGTGCGTCAAAGTGCCTACATACAAATGTGTTTGATGCTGTTAAAAACAAAGGTTCCCTTTTTCCTGCTGGTTTTATTGTATGATTGTCTACATTTTGTATCAAATGTATTGTTTTACAATAGAAATGTTCATGCCTGACAGACAAGACGGATTTAGCCTGGTCAAGTTATAATTAAAGCCAATACTGGTTAGTGTATTTTTACGTGTTTGTGTACAATTATAAATTATAAAAACACAATGTTTGTTTTTGTTTGTTGGAAAGAGTAATGTAATCCATTATAAATCATTATCATTATTTATTCATTTTCTATGTAATGCCCCTTTTAACTATAGCATCTAAAAACAGTCTAAAAACAGTTTAAATATTGAGATGCAGCTCTTCGTCATTAAAAATCAACTAAAAGAAGTGACGTTATCAACAAATCAAACGTTTGCCTCTTCACTCTGCCGCACATGATATATTTGATAGAGCACTGTGCATGAGAATAAATAGTTTTCAAATGTCTCTGGACTGTACAAATGTGACTTATTGACAGAAAGGGGAAGCAGTGGGATCAAAAGTCTTAAACACATCCTTAAGTGTCCGGTCCTCTGCCTCCCCAGAGTCCTGTTTGTCCTGATCCACTTCCATAGCCTCCTCCTCAGTCTGCACCTCCTTCTTCTCCTCTTCCCCCTCTTTCTTCTGCTCGGTCTCCTCTGGCGCTGCTACCGTCCCTTGTCCCACCTGCTTGGCCTGTCGGGGGTCCGTGTACTGTGGTCTTATGAGCCCGGCCAGCGCCTGTATGGGCAGGTTGTGCACAGCGGCTGGTTTGACCGGAGAAGACTGGGGAGGCGTATCCACAGAAGGAGGAGGGCTCTTTTCTGACGTCGTTTCCGTGCTTTTAACTTCCTCAAACGAGCGCTGAGTCGGCGATAAAGATAACGGAGGGGTACTGTCTTTTTTAACAGGGTTTTTAAGTATCCCAGTCTTTTTGGGAGGGTCCGCCTGCTCTTTCTGTTCTGTCTGATTGCGCGGATCGTACAAACTTATCCCACCGAGAATCGTGGTTGGACTTTCCAAACCTCCTCCCGATGAGGCAAGGCGAGGCGCGTACGGCGGCAGTTTGTCTGGTTCACTTTTAGGGGAAAGCGCTTGACATAAAGTTATGACGTTTGATTTCTGGAGTCTCGGGTCGACCACTGACGCCGCGCTAGAAGTCTGTTCTTTCTGCCCGAGCGTCTTTGAATCCAGACTCGAAGTTCGTTTCAGTCTCGGATCCAAAGATTTTGCTTGCCGTGGGTCTGCTGGCCTCTCAACAGGGAGTCGGGACTCTGCAGATCCGGGTGGCATTCGCGTCTTTAATCTTGCTGCTGCCATTCTGGGGTCGACGTGAGGCAGGCTGGGGGCAGGTGGGCTTTCCGGGCGACTGGAGCGGTTCATTTGAGCGTTGGCGATAAGAGGCGGTAAGGGCAGGTTGATCGAGTGCTCCTGTTTGGGGACCAGAGATGGGATGAGATCCTCAGGAGCCCACACAACGGTTTCGGCAAACACAGGTCTCTGGAGGAGGATGTCCACTTTGATATGGCTGAACTGCTTTAACTGACAGCGGGGGTCTCGAAGTGTGACTCCAGGACCTGGGTCTAGAGGGATAAGAACAGCTCTGTCTCTCAGCTCTCTCTCTCCTTCATCATCGTCATCTCCGGTGGCAGGTTTTTGGTTGACTGTTTGCTGCGGCTGTTGATACTGCTCTCTCACCTTCCGCGGGTCTCTGGACAAACGTGGATTGCCCGAAGCATCTGTCTCCTTCTTTACCTCCGCAGGGCGCTGACGGGGATCCATCTTTATTCTGGGGTCACTTGGAGGACCTCTCTCTTTCAGCCGCGGATCTGCCACTGGTCCACTCGGAGGCGGAGCGGGCTTGGCTTGGGCTTGCTTCATTTTCTCACTCTGCTTCTTCAGAGACTTCAAGATGGATGTAACACTGCCTTCATCGCCATCGTCGCTTGAGTACCAATTTGTAGTTTCATCTGAAATGAAACCATTGATGTTGAATTGTGAAATTTAGCAATTCAATGTAGGCACATACATTTGATGATTAGATTTTAAAACAATATATTTACAAGCTTTTAAATCTATTTGAAGCTTGTAAAGACATTTTAAAATGTTTAAAGACAATTTACAAATCCTAAGAATACAGATTACGGAATAAAACTGACAATTCAACCTAACTCCCAAACCAGTCTGACCACTCTAGTACCCTCTAGCTTATCAAAGCTTCGTGATGCTCTTTATAGTCCTAAAATTACCTGTGTGCATCTGCTAGCCTTCTCTCAGTCCGATCCAGTTATGCCAAATGGACTGGTCTTTCACACCTCATTTGGCTTGCCCAATCAAATTAAATTGGACGAGGCAATTTTTCTGAATTTCACTTGGGCTATTTACACAAACTCATTACGGATTACTCTAAACGTACATGATGGGTTCACGGCCAAAAATAATACTAACCCATGTATCTATTTCTATACTTTGTTATAAAAGCCGATGTCACTCACCTCTCCCGCCGTCGTCTTTTGGTGGTGCTACCTGCGGCTCAGGCCCTTTCTGGTTGCCGTCTTGCTGCTGCAGGTGCATGAGGATTGCCTTCTGTACCGGTGGAGGTAAAGCTTGAAACTGAGGTTCTGCATTTAACCGCTGCTGCATGTTCGGCACATTTGGCATAAAAGCCCGGTTGGGGTCCACTAGAAGGAAAACATAAATAAATTCTTGATCCTTAAAGATGTATAAATTAAGTTATGGTTTCAATACTCACTTCCTGGTGGGTTCATTGGTTGATTTTGAAAAAAACTGCTCAGAAAATCCACAGGGTTTTGTCCCATAGCAAAAGGAAACAAGTTTTGTAGCATCTGCAAGTCCGGGGGAAAAGGAGGCCTTTGCATGTTCATCGGTGGGGGGTTTGGTGGGAAAGGACCCGGGCCCATGGGAGGAAACCCGTGAGGGCCGCGTGGGCCGTGTGGGCCGTGAGGGCCATGTGGGCCATGCGGGCCATGAGGACCCTGTGGGCCATGGGGACCCTGTGGGCCATGAGGACCCTGTGGGCCATGAGGACCCTGTGGGCCATGAGGACCCTGTGGGCCATGAGGCCCCTGTGGGCCATGTGGGCCATGCGGACCCTGTGGGCCATGCGGACCCTGTGGGCCATGCGGGCCCTGTGGGCCATGCGGGCCCTGTGGGCCATGCGGGCCCTGTGGGCCATGCGGGCCCTGTGGGCCATGCGGGCCCTGTGGGGGTGGCTGCATTGGCCCAACACAGGGGCCCATCGACCCAGGAGATCCTGAAGGAGGAGCTCCATCTAGAGGCATGCCTTCTGTCCCTCCTGTGAACTGGTCTGTGCCATCGTCCTCGTACTCTGGTCCACTGTAAACAAATATAATAAAATCATAAATTCAAACGTTGTTCCAAATTGTTTTTACCAAAGCCTTTATGTTGTGGTTTCTACTTTAGCCACTTACCACGAGCGAAGAGTCATAAAGTGACTCCTTCATTCATGATGATGATGATGAAGACATGTGTAGCTAGCTGACTATTGTTTGTTACAAAGTTCTGAATGTAAGAATAACTGAATTTTTAATATTAAATTATAATCAATACAAAGTTGTTGATGCGTTTGATCCCAACGTAATTGTATCAACTATTAGACATTAGTGTCATGTAGTGTACGCTATCAACAAATCAATTTACCCCAGAGCAATCTTCTGAGCCAGGTCTGTAGTGGGCTGGACTTTGATCTCAAACAGGGACGGGATCTTCTTCCCCGCCTGACCGTTGTCTGTGGGGCTGCTCTGGCCCGGCGTGGGCAGCAGACCCACCCCTGGAGGAGGCTTCGGTAGCGGAGCGATGCCGTGTTTCCTCAGGTCCTCCAGCTCCAGCTCATCGTTATTCTCTTCCTCTGTGCTGACGATCTATTATCCAAACACAAAAAATTTTTGACCTTTGTCTCAGAGCGTATGCAATAACAACATTATGTTAGATATACAATATACACATCAATATACAAATACATGAGTTAATTATATATTAACATAAACTGTGTTGCTCTGGACCAAGAGTCAGTAATAAACTTATCTATAAATATTATAATAAATAGTATGAGCAGTTTTAGAATCATTTTTATCTATATAAAACCTTATAGTACCCTAAAAAGAACTATTTTTGAGCTAACAAATACAGCTTATTATCCAAAGACAGCATTATAAAGTCATCACTGTGGTATTGAGTATTGAAACCATTAATATACCAACTGAGTTTGAAATGCAAGATTATTTACTTATTTTTATTTATTCGTGCCGTATTAGATTATTGAAAGTGTATATTTTTTACTGTTAAAAATGAATCCAATTCCATTCAGTCATTTCAATTAAAATAAATGAGAAAGTAAGGGTAAAAAAAGACAGGATTGATATAAACTTTTACATCTATCTTGCTGTGCTTTACCTTACTAAGCAACTCCTTTGACACATCATTCAAAACATCATGGGAGAACTTGCACTTGTCGCCTTGGTAGCACTTGGCTCCAGTGTGAAAGAACTTGCAGGGGTATTCATGTGCAGCCACTGATTAAGGATCAAATACATAGAAATGCATTCATGAGTTCATAAATAGTCCAGTTATCAGTACCCATTTATTTTCCTCTCAATTATTATTCTATTCCACCCAACTGGTCACAACAACGATTACAACTTCAACTACCAACAAACATGTGTTCGTCTACTCCACATGTTGTACCACTCTTACTTTTAGTATATGTGCTGATTTATGTCTGATTAGTTTGGGTGAATTCGGTCCAAAGTCATTTTAAAAAACAGGACACTTCATTTGGATAACATCACATAAAATACAAGTCAGAATCTGTTTCCTGGAATATCTACCCCGTTTCAAACAGTGGGAGCTTTTTGTTCCTATTTATTTCTGTTAAATTAACATGTGCTTTAGTCATTTGTGTTGTATTGTTCAACATTTTGCCACCAGTATATTCACTATTATTGCAAATTCATATTGGCTCTATGTGTCAGCCTGTTAGATGACTAAATATTGGCATCAGCCGTGAAAAGATTTGTCGACCACTAATAAAAGTTTTCAAAAGGATATTGTGCATGTAGCTGCAGTTATCCCCTTTGCTGCAGTATCCCTGGAAGTAGAATTTACACAGCTCCTTCTTCTTATCCAGTGGGATGAGTTCATGTTCAAACTTGCAGTGGTCCCCCTGTAACGCAACAAAGGTTCATTTTTTTAAAATAATGTGAACAAATATAAACATTTCAAGGTTTATCATAGAGAATAGAGAGGGCTCCAGGTTACCTTAATGCATCGACCCTCCAGGAAATATTTGCAGATGTGTTTTCCATTGTGCTCCACTGTGTGCTGATTTATAAACTCCTTGCTCATGATTGGCCTTTTTTTCGGATAAGCATTTTTATCCTGTAGCCAACAAAAACAACAAATTAAATCATTTAAAATGTAAAGGGCTGCAACTCGCTTTGCTCTTTGACACACTATTTTGAATTAATTGATCTAAAAAGATAAATAGATTTCCGGCTGCAGATAAAGCTCTTGAGGGAATGTTGATCAATGTTATTCAATGAAAATAAATGGGTTTGTAAAAATATACTCTAGCTCCTCATTCTCCAGTTTGGTTTTGGTTTGGTTTTCACATACATGCATTTTTATTTTTATTTTTGATCACATCCTAAGATCCGCTTTTTCTGAGAGAAATGTGAATAATAGTGACTCACAGGAAGCTTTCTTATGTCTATGTGAAAGATAATATGGCAGCATGCCTGATTTGTTTTTCTTTTATAATGCTAATTTCTAAGACGACAAATTAAAAGAAAATAAAAAAAACCCAGATGATCTCAATCAATTGGTTCAATGTATTAGTATGGAACTACTCAGTAATGACAGCTTTTAAAAAGGTCTTAGAAAAGTATTTTGTCGGTTAGAATATTATATATAACATATAGTTAATTCTCCCAGCACATTATTATTCAGTATTAGATTATAAAACTATTTACCTTGCCATATCAGATCAGAGAGTTTGATTGGTTGACATTGTTATTTGAGGTTTATATACAGTCACACTGGTCATGCTGGTCTGACCTCGTCCATGGCGTCTCCTCTTCCTCTGCCGCGGCCGCCCCAGGGTTTGCCGCCTCGGAGCTTCTTCCCTCGACCTCTGCCGGGCATCACTCCACGCCCACGGCCCCGCCCACCATCTGAAGATCAACAAGTAATGTTTGACTTTTGAGGACATCTACTATGATGAGCTCTTTTACTACTACTATTTTTCTTACTTAACATTAAATGACAAACTCTGGAAATGTACTCTATGAAATTTATATTGACGTCTATTGATGAACCATTTCAGTTCTTCAGTTTTTATATCAATTTCAAACATTAAGATTTTTAAATAATAGTCATTCTAGTTAGTTAATACTTCAGTATGAATAAAATTATATTATTTTCAACCAGTTTTGAAAAGCCAGTGTCATGTTTCTAACCTAAAATTCCATAAAAGCTAAACACTTTGACGATAATTAATCCAGGGGCTAAACTGTTTGTGGTTCTTTTACTTTTACACATACAAACCCTTCATAAATAAACCATTATGTGTCAGTTTGTTGATAAAAACTGATAACAGACATACCCTACAGTACATGAGAAGGTCCGTTTTAACGCAAAATTAGGTATTCCTGCTTGAAAAAACGGGAAGCAGACTTACACTGTTGTTTAGAGCCCCTCATGCCTCTCTTGGAATGCCGCCCCCGTGAAGAGTACTCTGACTCTTCATCGTACTCGTCCTCCTCCTCCTCATAGTCGTACTTGTCGTCGCTATAGTCGCTGTATTTGTCGTAGTCGCTGCCCTTATGAGGCGGGGACTTCTGTGAGGTGCCGTGGCTTCCCTTTGAGTCTCTCCCGTGCTGCTGAACCAGATCGTCATTGGGTAAGTATTATGTTGTAGAGCATTTGTTGATATTGTATTTAAACTTTACCTGTGAGGACAGGCCATCGGAGTCACGCCGTTTTCTGCTTTTCGGTCTGTCTGGGCGATCATAGTCAGAGTCATAGCTGTCAGAGCTGGAGCTGCTCGAAGGGGAGTGATGCTGAGGAGAGAGAGAACAGATTTCATTTTCTCTTGTCATTTACGCACTCATATCTAGTTTTAGCACAATCCTTGCAATTGCCTCCTTTGGTTCCTCTGACCACGCCTCCTTGCCACTTCCCAGGTTTAAATTTTCCCATTTTCACCCTAACCCCCACTTCCTGTTCTGCATGATATGTGGAGAATTCACCCTCCTTGCTTTCGAAGTGACTGCGTTTTCCTGAAGCTATCTTTAAGGGCTGAAATAGGAAGTGCACAACCCTTTTAAAACATAGTTTCAGCCGAATGTTGGGATGTCATATAACGAGGTCATATGTAGCCAACAGAAGTGTGTTACGTTCCTTTTAATGGTATATAGTATGTAACGTTCCGTAGAAATTCAATTTGACTTTGAAACACATTTCCATGTAAAAAAGCAGGAGTATGTTGCAGGTTTGTGGAGATTGAAGCTCACCAAGAGTTTTTATACTTATTAAGTAAATACCACTACATTATTATAGTATTATTTTTGTGGCACATTTGAAACAAAGGTGCCACAAAAACAAACAAAGAGCAGTGTGACTTCAGTCTTTGAAGCTGTTCATATTTACAAATAAATACAATAAATGACAATTCTAACTTCATCACATATAGTGACAGTACCTTCTGTCTGTCCCGTCGCCTGCGCTTGGATTTCTTCTTGTCTCTGTTTTTCTTGGAGCGTTTTCTGGAGTGTCGGTGACTCTTCTCCTCTTTTTCCTTTTTGTCCTTTTCTTTATCTTTTTCTCGTTCTTTGTCTTTTTCTTTGTCTTCTGTCACTTCACTCGTCTCTTTGGCCTCTTCTTCAATCCCAATTCCTTCATCATCTATTTCTCCATCTTCCAGTTCTCCATCCTCCCTGATAAAGAAAACAAGGATTTATAAACAAAAACAAAACAAGTTATATTCTATGTACTGCTTAAAGTTAATTGTATTTGTACTATATCACTGCACAAATAGCAATTAAATAAAGACATTTTGCTCATTTATAATAATCGCATGTTCAAATGTGTACTAATACATTGTTGTTGTAAAAAATAATAAAGTAAAAATAGAACACAAACACTACCACATTAATAGACACCAATCTTTAAAACATTGTTCATGCGTTTGCTTTGAGATGATGGATGAGTGATTGAAAATCAGAAGCCTATTGCTGAGTATTATGTTGTTTAACTTTAAAATATATGAAAATAAACTTTACTAGATATGACTAACAATACAATTTTAAAGAAAGGTTACAAATGTGTGAATGTCAAACTGTGCAGTGGTGTTTTTGTGTAGATAATGTATTGACCTTGTATTGATGGTAATAATGGAGTGACTTTTACACCAATAACAGAAGTGTCTCCATCGTACAAACATGTCTGGACAGGACCGTATGCAGAATACGGTGTTGCAAAATGCAGAGTTTACAACTGTGGATCCTTTAAACCATTAAATACTATGTGCCAAGTTCAAATAAGCATTGTTCTGTACACATACAGTATTCAGACTACTAGATCCACCCAATATAAATTATTATGACTGTAAATAGGCTGTACAACAGCCTGTGTCTTTATCTTTGCATGTTCCATGGGTGTATGTGCATCACAGCTCAAGAATCAATGGGTTAAAAGTAAAAGAGCGCATTCACATTTGTCTTGTCCTCGTTTGAGCCCAGAATATACTTTTGTAAATATCTCCTGTGTGAGATCAATAAAGTCTATCTTATCTTAGGTATGATGTCAATTTTATCCTTAACTGGTCATCCTAATTGTGAGTAGTCCTTAGTGACCTGCTCAGTCTCTTGGATGTAGACCTGGTTTAGTCCTGGTCATGTTCTACTTGTGTTTCAAGTTCAGGCTTCAGTTTAGAATCTCATTTGAATCTTCAATACATTAATAATAATAGATCTAATTTTAGGAGTGTGTATGTATTCTCTGTGATATACTAGTTGAGTCCAAAATATGCTTAATCTTGTGTGTGGATCTGTGTGAATGCAGCCAGAGTCAAACTGTCCCATCTGAGGACCAATCACACAGACCTGGGCCATGTGACATTCTGGTCACTGCCAACCCACTGCAGCTTCGCTAAAGCTCCACTAGAGGGAGTGCCACAGAAAGGATGGGCGTGGCATTGTCAAAGCTATTTGCATAGTATCCTGCAGATGGCAACAATGAAGGCGATCTGTAGCACAAACAAGCACAAGGGCGGCTGCAGCGCATGAAAATGACTTATCGACGCGACGATGGAAAGCCAGGTTATTTGGACAGCGTTCTACGTCAAGAAGGCATGCAACCAAGAGAATCAATTGGGAAATTGTGTTGAGGTCTATAGACCCTGTATCTCATGATAAAACTAACAGTCACACAAGCATGTAGACCCACGTACAGCACTGAAACGCACAGATGAGCGTATTAAGAATTGTATAAGAATGTTACTCGACCTTTCATCCCCTGCAAGCTCAGAGTCTGTCATGTTTTTGTCAAGAACAGGGGCGGGGGGACTGGAAACAAGGCTCACAGAAGCCATTGAAAAATGCCTTCCCTCTCGGCACAGAGTGAATTCACAGTCACTCGAGGAGACGTGGATTGTGAGAGATGCAGCAAGATTTCAGACTGGAAAAAACTCACGGAGTTACATGTCTCGACAGAGAGACAGTAAACAGACTCCTCTTTCATTAATGTCGTTTTAACTCTGTGAGCACTGCTCGATAGCCCGCTTTGCTAATGTCCCGTCCGCTGACAGCTGCCATGGTGGAATAAAACACACGGAGGGAGGAACACACAGAAATGTGACCATGGTCGTTGATTTCAGCATCTTCATGGGTTTTCTCAACAGGGACATCACCTCAAAATGGCTTCTGAAGTCTGCCGCACATTCACATTCCTCTCGGCGCGATCGCGCTGGTTTTATACCCTCACCGATCCACCTAACATGAGCGCTGTGCTTCCTGACTCCTGATTGGTCAGTTTTTTGGATGTCAATACACGGGCGCTTCTGATTGGTTCAGGGCACTGCCACTCATAGAGCTGGTGGCGGTGTGCTGGGTGTTGGGCGCTCTTTGTTATGACATGGTTGTGCACTTATTTATTACAAAACAACCCGCGCTTTTGATTAATGTCATCTAGTGAATTTGTGTTTCAACCAAACACCGAATATGCAGCAAAAAGCGTGTGTGCATTATCTGCGTGCATTATCAATTATTATCAATGTGGTCTTTGAGGCACATAATGATGAAGGCTTACCTGAATGCTATCACATTCGAAAGGCGTTAAAATGGCACAGATAGTATTGTGTCACATTGTACGAGGGTGTTCCTTGTTTATATTTTGTACGATATTATGACGTTTTTACTGTCTTCGTCGCACTGACTGTTTTGAAAAGTCTCTGTACCTTCCTTTGTCACCACGAGGTGTCGCAGTCACAAGTGAAATCTACGGTGAAAAGCAGTCGACTTTTATTACAGCCAATCGTTAATCTTTAGAGATAAGTATTACCCTGAATCTAGCATCAAATCATTCTGCATAAAAAGACAACTGAAAAAAGTTGTGCACGTGGTCTGCTTTCTCAAATATATCAGCCTGTTAAAATTATGCACTGGGAAGTATGCTCTTTATTAAAGACGATCATACAATCTTTGCTTGACAATAACATTTGGGACAATTATCCCATAGAACAGAAAGTGCCTTTAATCCCCGGCTTCTTTGGCAGTGAGCGGCAGTGAGTTGACTGAGGAGGAGGGACCCGGAGGCTGATGCTTTGAGAGCGAAAGAGTGTAATAAACTTATCTATACACTGAGAGAAGAGAGCATCTTTCAGAGGCACCTGATGAGAACCACCAAGACCCTCTGCAACTCCTACAGCTGCACATGAAACATCGCGTGGACAATAGATTCTAGACCAGTTTGGGCGAAAGGCACAGTTCAACTTGTAGCATTATCCAGTAGAAATGAGAGCGTCTCTCCAGTCCCTCTATTTGCCCCTGTTATGTTTGACTGCTGTCCTCTCCAGTGATGCTGCTGTTCAGGTAAGATTAATATTATATCAGTATTGCCTATTGTTTCCAAACTAACGTAAGCTGTTATTGGCTCTCACCATTCACTCTAAATTAAGCTCACGCTGTATAACACATGCATAAAGAATAGCAGCAGTTAATAAAATGTGTCAAAATAAAGTTGTTTCCCTTTCAAATGTAGCTGTTGTTGTACATGCTCCTCGGATTGCTATGCAGGAATTTAAGGTATGCTGCGCCCAGAAATTGTCAAAATGAGCATGTGATTAATAAGCTTTTTAAAAAGGATTAGAGGCACTTTGCAAGATTTCAAATTATGTGAGCTATTTTTACACGAGTCCATTTTAATATTTGCCCATTTGGTATGTGCTTTACCACAATACAAGTACAAAGAGGACAGCAATTTGGACTTATGTCCCTGGGCACATCTGTCTGACAGATTCCATCCAGCTGCAGAAACTGTGGTAATGAGGAAGAACAAGGAGAAGTTGATGGTTGCGCCGAATACCTCATGAAGCACTACCTGGCAAACTTTGCTTCAGTGTTGGTGTTTAGTGCTTAGTAGTCTCATGTTTTATTAATAGTAGCTAGATTTTTAATACACGTAACCATAACAACAGCATAAGCAGTCATAACACTGTTTTTAAGTCAAATACATCATGTCTCAAGAGCCATGCTTCTGTTTCATGTTTTATAGACGCTGAGGTAAGTGCTGGACTGGGTGTTTCAGTTAATTTATTATGTTAGTGTTTGGTCCATTGCAGAGCTGCATGGACAAGCATCAAGTGGTTGGTGTGCTACGGCAGATGGAGAAGTTCCTAAAAGGCCAGGAGGTCCGGTTTACTGAAGGTCTCCGCATCATGAAGTCCAAACTGGCCACTCTTCAAAACTCTGTCTCCAAAATGCCACAAGCCGACCAGTCTGCAGGTATGCACATTACCCTATGATAGACCATTTTCTGACTCATAGTTTTTATATCTTTGCACACAACTCTTCATTTATCTGTTCCGAGAACCAGTAAAAGTATGACTGGAAAGTTTCATGTGATTATAGTGCCAGAACAAAATCTTCCTCCTATCAATTCACTACATAACCATTAAACTGGTGTATTCTTATCTGATCGTATACTGCACAGTCGTCCAAAGTCTGTACATGACCATTATAGTTTTTGGTTGGCAGCTGAAAAGGATGTGGATTTGAGGAATTGTGTTGTTTGGCAGAAAATACTTGGGTCAATTTGTCAGTGATGGACCAGTGCAGTTTATAACTCTGGAAAGCACAAGACACAAAGAACTGAAATGTTTAAAGTTATAAAGATTTAACAGGCCTGAAATAGTTTTCCCTTGTCCAATTGGGGCCACATTGCTCAAAGTAGATTTTTATTACAATTACATTTAACCTTTCCCGTATTGTTTGTGGTTTCTTCAGCAAGAGACTACACCAAATATCCCGGTAAACCAGAAGTCACATCTGCCCCATGGAAGGTGTGGCTCCACAAACCTTGATGCTTAAACAATCAATACATTTTTGAGAACATTGCTACATATACAGTATGTCCTTCTCAACCCTCGGGGACAGGAGCTCTGTTGATCACCAAAGGGGAACGAGTCATATGTGTGCTCCCTCCTCTTTGAACTTTGAAAGGTTAGTTTGCAAAATACAGGAAAATATGTATAAACGAGACTTCTAGGGTTTGTAACATAATCTTCCATGCCAGAGTAGTTGCAGCATTCTTCACACTTTCCGTAACCTCACACATGTTTAGCTTTGTTTGACAATCAATCAAAACTGTAAAACTATCATTCATACACTTTCACTAAACTGTGGTTTTCACTGCTGAACACATTCTGACCGAATACATGCCACTGAAAGCACAACCCCATTAGTGCAAGTACAACCCAGAAGACGAAGAGGAGGTGGACGAGGGGATGAGGGCAGCAGGATATTCTGAGCCAGGTTACACATGAGGCCTGTCAAGCATTCTAATCTGGCTGCAGTCTACACATTTACAGTTGATTCTTTTTCAGTGTTTGTCTGAAAAACCAATTGTAATCTCAACATTCATCTTCTTCTCTTTTTTGTCAACATGTCCATTATAATGAAGTGACACTGATCATGGGGCTGAAGGACTTGTTCTTTCTCCTAAAATCATGGTTTTGAGGAAAGGAGTGAGACAGACACTGAGTGTGTGTCTTCATCTCTCTTCATTTACCTTTCACCTTTTCACTGCCTGTGCCTGCATATGTATATACAGTATATACTGTCAAAGTATATAAAAATACAAAAAAAAAATCAAGATCAATCAATATGAGGAAAAAAAAGCAAATGTATATTTGTGCAATTTATACATAAGTTTCATAATATTTTCAAGCACAATGTTATGTGACTTTGTGAGTAGTAGATTTTCCAAATCGGGCATTGGTTTGACCTACTATTTGGTTTTACCTTGTACTTGACTAACTTCCAAAATAATTCTGTCAAATCAATTCTAAAAACCGTAAATGTGTTTGAAAAACGTTTATTAGACAGGCATTTTACATTCGACATGTATATTTGTTCCATCATAGCTATATTATGTTGGATCAGAGGAACTTGCACTGATAAGCTCTAATAAAGAAAGTATAAAATAAAAACAAATGCTAAGGCTACATTTGTATAAACTAAACTAAATGCAGACTTAACCACAAACACTTGAGTTGAAGTTCGAAGTGGAACTATTGAGTGGACATGATAAGATCAGACGTGCCGTGGTTGAGTGTAAATGAAGCATTTCAAGCATCCTTTCCCATGAAGCTGTGGACACGTGTACGTCCTGAGGCGCTGAATGCCAGAGGATCCTGAGGAGCTGCATTCACATGCGACCATCCTTTTCTTTTCTCCACAGCTCCCACCGCCTGCCCCTCCCTGGAAGCCCCCGCACACGGAACCAAGTTTGGATCAAAGTATTTGGTTGGACATGAGATACATTTCACTTGTACCCTGGGCTTTCAGCTGGTTGGTGCGACCACACGAGTCTGTCAGGAGAATGGGAGCTGGAGTGGCATTGCTACAGCCTGTAAAGGTGAGACACTGAATGTATATTCGTAGCAAAAGTAAAATAAAACTGAAGGACCAGATGTTTCTGAAAATATAAAATGCAAGTAAAAATGGGCGGCTGTCCAACACACAAAACGGTGAGAGAAGAGCCTCAGGTACTCTCAATCATAAATGGGGAATTTCTTTCTGCATATTACATGCACCCCAGCAGAAGTCGAGGGCCAGTTCAAATAATCAAGGCTTTGCTTTGAGAGCGTCTGTCCAGCTTGACAAATCTTGAGAGGCAGTCACGGCTCCACAATCCTCACATGCCAAACAAACAGAAGGCAAGAATCAAATGTCCCTTACGGAGATAACAAAGAAAAGAGGCATTCTTCAGAACGGCTGGGCTCTACTGAATGAAGCTCTCGTTAAAATGGCATTAAATGTCTCTGGACACAAAAACACCTGCACCACATTCCTCTGTGGGGTGCCCTCCCCTTTAAAGCCGGGCTGATGAACAACAGTGGTGGGCTACAGTAGAAAGCTCTTCTCAAGTTTCTGCATATCTTTGACACAAAGCCATTGAACAAAGTCCAGGAACTAAACACACGGCTGTCAAAGTATTGCTTCATGAAACAATGTGGGGATCTATTTGTATATTTCACTGACTTTAGTAAGTTTTTAGTTAATTCATGACTGAAGTGCACATGCTTTCGTTTGGGTAGTAAAATGTATCACCTTCTACCTGATTCCTGCAGCTCGACACGTGCAGCTCGAAAGCTTAAAATAACACGACAGAGTTTAGCTTGAACACTATTGCATGTGTTTACTGTCTATTAGAACTACTTTTAGCCCAAACCTTTAAAAAGCTGTATTCAACATTTGTGGAAAATTATTAGTTAAAACATTTAAAAATAACCAGCAAAGTGAAGTAGGTCTTTTCATGTTTTGGAGCTGCGGTGGCTTCTGGGAAAGTCAAATAAACATTAAAGGGATTGGTTGTCGTCCAGTGCACCGCGGCCTCCACGCTTCACCTCAGAGGGAGCTCCATCTTCCTCACATCTGCAGAGTCTTTGACCACAGAGGCACAGATCATAGGCTTTAAAGTACTGCTTATTGACTTATTTTCTAATTCAACACAGTAAACTGGACTGTTAGCTGTCCATGAAGTCATCTCCTTTACTGTGGTTTCAACACTTAGGCTATTTCAAGTTACTAGCAGTGAAAAGTACAAAGCCGCATGAACCTAGATGAGTTTACTTTTTTAGGATGTTGTGGTATGACAAAACAACACAACAATCTATTAATAACCCAGAGCTCATCAGACAATCAAAGCTCAATCAAAGCATCACACAGAAAAGCTGTTGCTGCTTTTGGTTATAGTGAAAATATACTGTACAGGCGCCAAAGTGCCTAACACTCGAGCGTCACAACAAGAAGGTTGTAGGTTCGATCATGTGTCATCCAGGGTGCTTCTGTGGGGAGTTTGTATGTTTCTCCTGGTGTCATAGGTAAAATCCTCCAGCTCAGTCCACGTTTTGTACTCCGGCAACCACTTCTCCAGGCAGTGGCTCTCGTGGCATTGAAGAGTGGGTCAAATCACTTTACTGTGAGGAAAAAATGTCCTCACATCAAAGTAATACCTTACCCACTATAATGCTGTCAGGAATTAATTTCCCTTTGACAGCAGCTCACATATAGTCTCTTATCTTGCACATCTAGAATCTACAGGACAATTACTAGGGTCATAGAGACAGAACTAACTGGGATTCTTACAGAGGAACATGCACAGACTCTGGGGCGTATTGCTGATAAATCAATAAACTTCTCCTATGTTAGAAACTCCTGCCTCCTGCTTCTATTTCCAACTCTAAACCACCGGTCCCATGCCCCAACACTCTCAAACATCCATCATTTATTTATGTTAAAATAAATCAGACTAAATCAAAATAAATGTGGGATTCATTCCTGAGCCACAGTAAGACTCTTCGTATGAGTTCCTTGGTACGTAGATGACTGCTGACAATGACCATTTTTGTGTGTGCAATAATACATGAACTAAACATTGTGTTGTGTGTGTAGATATGAGTGTGTGTGTCAGTAACCCGTGTCAGAACGGAGGCACCTGCGTGGCGTTGGTGAACCAGTACAAATGCACCTGTCCTCAGAAGTGGAGCGGCTCTCACTGCCAGCACCCGACACAGACAGGTGTGCCAGCACTTTATTCTTATGTGTTACAATTATATAAAATAAGGCCGCACATCCCAGTGGCCTGGACTAGCATGGGTTAAAAAAAGAGTGCAAAACATAAAAACGGAGAAAAATTAATTACATTCAGAGATCTTAAAGCTGGGATAGGTATGGGATATGTATTATTCAAACCATAAAAGAATGCAACTATATAATCCCATTTGTGTTACTAGTTCCTGGCTCTTAAACAATTTAGAGTTGTGCTCATAGGTCGTAAATAGTAGGGTTGCGCAATACTAATATTCACTTATTTTGTGTTGTTTGCTTCTCATTCCTACTGTTCTATAAGTTATGATGCAACACTGACATCTAAGTTGGTTCTATCACATGCATGTAGCAGCCAATCAATTAAATAGTGACTCACAAGGCAAAGAATGTGGTGGTCTGATTTGACATTTTAGATTTATGAGCCCCTTCTGTCGGGACAAACAACATGTATCATTTATGAGGGAAGTTACGTCAGGTAAAGGTAGGTCATTTAGCTAAGTTTAAGTTCATCCGTTCTGCAAAAATATATTATAAATAGTATTGCAGCCGTGTTCAGGCCCACATAATACCAAATAATATGTTGCATGTTGATCTGCAAGAAAGTTTTGTTAATTGTGAGTCATTTTAAATAAAAAAGTGAAAAGTGCAAAAAAATGTTTTTTAGAGTGAATCAATAGAGATCCTAAACAGTCCTAAACCGTATTTTTTTTTTTTTACAATAATGATAATAATAACTAGAAACTTGCAATGGCTGAAGCCATTGCGATTGACTGCGGAACAGATCTAATGTGGAAATCTGCTAAAAAAAATCCTTGAAATCCTTTAAAAGGCCTTGAAACTGTTAAAATACTTGATAGATATTTGAAACTCCTGAAGTCCTTGAAATTGTTGAAACCTTTAAACTCCTGAAATCCTTGAAACTGTTGAAACATTGAAACTCCTGAAATCCTTGAAACTTTTTTTAAACCTGGAAACTGTTGAAAGTGTGGAAACTCCTGAAATCCTTGAACCTCCTGATATCCTTGAAACTGGTTAAATTCTTAAACAGTTGAAATCCTTGAAACTACTGAATGTATTGAAAGTGTCCTTGAAACTGAAAAATCCCCTCACCGCTGAAACAATTTGGTTCCTGTAACTAAGGAAACCTGGTCTGTGGTCATTATCTGGTGGTGGTCTGAGTCTTCGTTTGGGTCTTGGTCTGGTGGTATAATGCAACCTATTAGGTTGCATTATACTGGTTTACATGGAAAAATCCCTATTAGGTTGCATTATACTGGTTTACATGGAAAAATCCCTATTAGGTTGCATTATACTGGTTTACATGGAAAAATCCCTATTAAGTTGCATTATACTGGTTTACATGGAAAAATCTCTATTAAGTTGCATTATACTGGTTTACATGGAAAAATCCCTATTAGGTTGCATTATACTGGTTTACATGTACAAATCCCTATTAAGTTGCTTTATACTGGTTTACATGTAAAAACCCCTATTAGGTTACATTATAGTGGTTTACATGTAAAAATCCTTATTAAGTTGCATTATACTGGTTTACATGTAAAAACCCCTATTAAGTTCCATTATACTGGTTTACATGTAAAAACCCCTATTAAGTTCCATTATACTGGTTTACATGTAAAAACCCTATTAAGTTGCATTATACTGGTTTACATGGAAAAATCCCTATTAAGTTGCATAATACTGGTTTACATGGAAAAATCCCCATTAAGTTGCATTATACTGGTTTACATGAAAAAAACCCTATTAAGTTGCATTATACTGGTTTACATGGAAAAATCCCTATTCAGTTGCATTATACTGGTTTACATGGAAAAATCCCTATTAAGTTGCATAATACTGGTTTACATGGAAAAATCCCCATTAAGTTGCATTATACTGGTTTACATGTAAAAAACCCTATTAAGTTGCATTATACTGGTTTACATGGAAAAATCCCTATTAAGTTGCATTGTACTGGTTTACATGGAAAAAACCCTATTAAGTTGCATTATACTGGTTTACATGGAAAAAACCCTATTAAGTTGCATTATACTGGTTTACATGGAAAAATCCCCATTAAGGTGCATTATACTGGTTTACATGGAAAAATCCCTATTAAGTTGCATTATACTGGTTTACATGGAAAAATCCCTATTAAGTTGCATTATTCTGGTTTACATGAAAAAAACCCTATTAAGTTGCATTATACTGGTTTACATGAAAAAACCCTATTAAGTTGCATTATACTGGTTTACATGGAAAAATCCCTATTAAGTTGCATTATACTGGTTTACATGGAAAAATCCCTATTAGGTTGCATGATTACACTGAAGTCCTTGAAACTGCTGAAGTCCTTGAAACTGCTGAAGTCCTTGAAACTGCTGAAGTCCTTGAAACTGTTGAAGTCCTTGAAACTCTTGAAATCTTGAAACTGCTGAAATCCTTGAAACTGTTGAATCCTTGAAACTGTTGAATCATTGAAACTGTAGAAATGTCTGAAAGAGCTGAAGTCCTATTAAAATGCATGGGCCTATTAAAATGCATTGCAGAATTCTCAATGCAGATTTTTGTCCGATTGCGGAAAAACCGGAAATCGCTGAAGTCCCAAAAGTAATAGCAATAATCTCCCAAACATGTGAACGTTTTGATGTATAACTTGTGGAAATTGTTGAAAATGTGAAAGCTGTGAAACGTGTCAAAAAAAATGACGGAATAAAGAAATACAAAACCAATGGTTGACTGCGGAAGGTTCCGCAGTCAATCAATTACCACAGATACAATACATTACAACATCTTACAACACTTACAGCACCTTACAACACATTTAGCACTTTACAACAAATTCAACACATTTAGCACTTTACAACAAATTCAACACCTTACAACACATTTAGCACCTTACAACACATTCAACACCTTACAACACATTTAGCACTTTACAACAAATTCTAACACATTTAGCACTTTACAACACATTCAACACCTTACAACACATTTAACACTTTACAACAAATTCAACACCTTACAACACATTCAGCACCTTACAAACAAATTCAACACCTCACAACACATTTAGCACTTTACAACAAATTCTAACACATTTAGCACTTTACAACAAATTCAACACTTTACAACACATTCAGCACTTTAACACAAATTCAACACCTTACAACACATTTAGCACTTAAACACAAATTACACACTTAGCACTTTACAACAAATTCAACACTTTACAACACATTCAGCACTTTAACACAAATTCAACACCTTACAACACATTTAGCACTTTAACACAAATTCAACACCGTACAACACATTTAGCACTTTACAACAAATTCAACACCTTACAACACATTCAGCACTTTACAACACATTCAGCACTTTACAACACATTTAGCACTTTACAACACTTTCAGCACTTTACAACACTTTCAGCCCCTTACAACACATTCTTCTTCTTTCATCTTCTTCACTTCTTCCTCTTCTTCCCCTTCTTTCTCTTCTTTCTATTCTTCCTCTTCTTCCCCTTTTTCCTCTTCTTCCTCTTCTTCCTCTTCTTCCCCTTCTTCCTCTTCTTCCTCTTCTTCCTCTTCTTCCTGTTCTTCCTCTTCTTCCCCTTCTTCCTCTTCTTCCCCTTCTTCTTCCCCTTCTTCCCCTTCTTCTTCTTCCTCCTTCTCTTCCTTCTTCTTCTTTCCTCTTCTTCCCTTTTCTTTCTTCTTCCTTCTTCTTCCCCTTCCTCTTCCTTCTTCATCCCTAACCCTTCCAACATCTATGCAGCCACTCACAATGGCTTCAGCCATTGTACCATTTCTAGTTGAGTGGCTGCATAGACTATGCAGCCACTATATGCTCTCCTACTGTTTATTCTTCTTCTTCTTCTTCTTCCACCGCCAGATTTTGGCACTTTTCAACTCTTCAACGCTTTCACCAACTTCAACAAATTATACATCGTTACGGACCGGACTTCACGCGTCTCATTATTGCTATATTACTTTTCACACTTCCACATTTAGCACTTTTTCAGCTTATCAAAAAAGTTCAAGCACCTTTTTCCCATAGACTTACAATTGGACCAGTACAACCGGTTACTCCCCATACAAACACATACCACACTAACAATTCATTACCACAGATACATACATTTACAACATCTTTTACAACACATTTAGCACTTTAAAACAAATTCAACACCTTACAACCATTTATAGCACTTCAACAAATTCAAACCTTACAACACATTTAGCACTTTACAACAAAATTCCACACCTTACAACACAATCAGCACCTTACAACAAATTCAACACCTTACAACAAATCACCCCCCACCTTACCACACATTTAGCACCTTACAACACATTCAACATCTTACAACACATTTAGCACTTTACAACACATTCAATACCTTACAACACATTTAGCACTTTAACAAAAATTCAACACATTTAGCACTTTACAACAAATTCAACACCTTACTACACATTCAGCACCTTACAACAAATTCAACACCTTACAACACATTTAGCACTTTACAACACATTCAACACCTTATAAAACATTTAGCACTTTACAACAAATTCAACACCTTACAACACATTTAGCACTTTACAACACATTCAACACCTTACAACACATTCATCACTTTACAACACATTTAGCACTTTACAACACATTTAGCACTTTACAAAACATTCAATACCTTACAAAAAATTCAATACCTTACAACACATTTAGCACTTTATAACAAATTCACTACCTTACAACAAATTTAGCACTTTACAACACATTTAGCACTTTACAACACATTCAGCACTTTACAACACATTCAGCACTTTACAACACATTTAGCACTTTACAACACATTAAGCACTTTACAACACATTTAGCACTTTACAAGACATTCAATACCTTACAACACATTTAGCACTTTACAAACAAATTCAACACCTTACAACACATTTAGCACTTTACAA